CTACAGCAATCACAAACCCAGTGACAGAATTTTACACATGACTACTGAGTGAGTGAATACCGTGTCTTGCAGACAATAAATGAAACACAAGAAAATAAAATTTAAGAGCGACGAGTTTGTCTTAAGCTACAGCAATCACAAACCCAGTGACAGAATTTTACACATGACTACTGAGTGAGTGAATACCGTGTCTTGCAGACAATCAATGAAACACAAATAAATAAAATTTAAGAGCGGCGTCTTTGTCTTAAGCTACAGCAATCACAAACCCAGTGACAGAATTTTACACATGTCTACTGAGTGAGTGAATACCGTGTCTTGCAGACTATAAATGAAACACAAAGAATAAAATAAAAGAGCGGCGTCTTTGTCTTAAGCTACAGCAATCACAAACCCAGTGACAGAATTTTACACATGACTACTGAGTGACTGAATACCGTGTCTTAGAGACAATAAATGAAACACAAGGAATTATTTAAATTTTTAAAAGATGTTTAATTTGATTTGAATGATAAAATAAATAAAAATAAAATATGTTTATTATGGAACATAAGATACATGTATCACTTATTCCACGTCATTAAATTTGAATTTGTAGGCATCACTAATCATCGGCAAAGACAGAGGGTGTAGGCCGAGAGAAAAAGCCGGCGTAAAAAACTCTCAGTACTCTTTTAAAACAGCAAATCATCAAACAACACTTATTTGAAACAAATATCGCAAATTAATTAGAAGTAGCCTGTCTAGCACTAGTCCCAGGCCCTTTTATCAACTAGATAATCGTTGACTTTATAGTAAGCCTTTTTACACAGCTTTTCTTTAATACATTTCTTAAATTTATTGAAAGGCAGTGATACCGGAACTAATATCACATTAAAAGCTGGGCTTCATTTCTTTATACGACAAACGGATTCTTTGAAATTATGCAACATATATGTATTATATTTTTTAAATCAAATAATTATAATTAACCAATAGCAATAAACAAAAAACTTACCTGAATGGACATAAACAAAACACTTCACGATTTTTATACTCATTGCACTTCACACTACGAATGTTAAATCTTAACTGATACCCAAATATTAAAACCGCACTTTAAATACAAATACTTAGTCATTAATTAATTATCGTAAACAATAATTGTGTATTGCATCTTAATTATTTTGAAGAACGCAGGTATGTGTAATTAGGAAATATTACCCCTTAATGATCAACATATTTTCGTTACTTATTTAATAGTGTAAACACAAATCCGAAATTTAAAAAAATAGTCGAAAAAATATGTTCATTCTGCCAGAAATAAAACTGTCGCTAGTGGAATAGTAAATTCCACTGAACAAAGATAAAAAATGTTATGCCTGAATTATATGTAACTTAGGTTTGTCTAAATAAATTATAAATCACTAAACTGTCGTTGATCATCTAATTAAAGCTTCGTATATAAAAGCTCTTACGTTATTTACATTACATGGCGTTTGTGCTTTTCAGCAATGGCCTCTCTGAAGAGGCCGAGTCCAAAGTATATAGTGAAACTGTACATATGTAAAAATTCGTATTTATTTATATATTATCGGCAGAAGGTTTCTTGAATGTGCTCTGTGCTCGCGTAATTATAAATTCAGTTATTTTAATGAGATTGTCGATAAAGACACCAATTTTCGAATAAATAGGTGTTAAAATTGCACTTCACTTCCTTTGACCCATCTGTATTAATATTAATAGAAAATCTTCAACGATTTAAGCTTCAAGATATCAGAGATTCGTTATATGAGCGAGGATATTAAATACGGAAGTCACTCGTAAGTCTAGACTTACCCTAGGAGAATTTCCGGTTGGAATGTACAGAACGTCCCATGTAGTGAAACTAATTACTTTGAAACAAAATACAGTCTGAATTATAATAAAAATTAACAAAACATTAGCAGTTCAAATTGGTTATGTATAGCTTAGAATTCCACCTTTTAACACTTGAAATTTATTGATTCATCTGATTTAATCATGGAGGAAATTTAACACCGTCGCACACGAAACACACGAAATTAAAAAAATTTACAAGCATTTTGACAATTGCGATCCAAGCGCGAAATCAGCCCTTAAAGATTATATCACGGTCACGAAACAATCGTCCTACATCTACTTGCACACAATTATTTATTTATTTATTTATATTATCACTCCTTTTTCCCGAAGAGGTAGGCAGAGACTTCCTACGTTCCTGAGTCCTGACATTCCTCTCTCTTCATCCACTTTCAGGACATTCATGCATTCAAATATTCCAACTTAAAAAGTAAACTTACAAATTGTCTGGATGATTTAACATCAGTTAAAGCGCTAATGGTCTCAATTAAGGCTTTGGTCCTGTGATTTCGCCAAATGTTATAAAGAATCGAGTCGTAGAGTCAAAACTATTTTGTCTAATAAAATATATGTAACGTCGCTATATAAAAGGTATAGTGTATTGTTATCAGTTATTTTGACCACATTGATAAATTGCGGTGTTTAATTGTTTTTTCTATTAAATGTTGCTTATGCACACTTACGAAGCTTGTACAAATAATATCAAGCATTTATTAGTCTAAAATTACTATGAAAAGAATTGTCTATGATGTTATGTAAAGTGATTATTATTTCTTATGTTGCCTATTTATCTCTAAGGGTCTATGTTATATTTTACATCTTAAAATAAATAAATCAGTGGCGCTACAACCTTTTTAGCCTCATATTTATGTGCCTGACACACGCCATCGACTTTTTGGGTCTAAGGCAAGCCGGTTCTCTCATGACGTTTTCCTTCACCGTTCGAGCGAATGTTAAATGCGCATATAGAAAGAAAGTCCATTGGTGCACAGCCGAGGATCGAACCTACGACCTCAGGTATGAGAGTCGCACTCTGAAGCCGCTAGGCCAACACTGCTCCCAGCTTCACATCTTAAGCATCGTATAATCTTCAGATTCGATTGCCATAGAAAAAAATATGTTACGAATTAGAAGACATAATTAAAAATTATTTATGTTTAAAATGTCTTCAAAGTATTATTTTTGTTTATTTATTAACCATCGAAAATATGTTTTTTTATATTTATAATTAGGGATTACTTATCCCTTAATCATTATGTTTATTCCCATGTAATTAGTTGTAATTGAACGTTTTATGAAATTAATTAATGACACGAATAGTATTAGTTAACGACTTAATGAGTATTAAAAGTTGTTTACGTGGGATAATTCACATCTAGTTAAATTAAATTTATTAAAAATCCCTGTCTTCGTAAAATGAATGTATATGTATCATAATTTTTGAATAAACTAAATAAAAAACATTATCTGCCCCCTCTAGCACGCCTTATGACGCCTTTAACTTGAGCGCGGTTTCACCCGTCTTAGTTTGGTCGCAGTTCTATTATTTATATTTTGTCTCGATAATTTCTAGATTTCTTATATCTTATTAAAAATGACTAATTTGGTGCAGTCACTAGAAAGTTGTGTAAAACACTGAGCAGTGTTGGCCTAGTGGCTTCAGCGTGCGACTCTCATCAGGTCGTAGGTTCGATCCCCGGCTGTGCACCAATGGACTTTCTATGTGCGACTCTAACACTAGCTCGTACGGTGAAGGAAAACATCGTGAGGAAACAAATCGTCTCACATAAAAAAATCTTCGACATGTGTCAGTCAGAAGGCTGATCACCTACTTGTCTAAGAAATAGAAATGATCAAAGACACGGATGCAATCTGAGGCCTAGGCCTTTAGGGCTGTAGCGCCACTGTATTATTATTTTATTATATTTTTAAGATTTTAACTAATTTTATAAAGAGGAAAAATTTGTACCTTTGTAAAGGATAAGCTTCTGGACCGATTACAAAATTCTCATTATTTTAATCTCATATAAAATGCTACCTTTTCCCCCAGGATATAAAAAATATCCACCTGTGCGAAGCGGGTTTTGTTGACTAATTATTATTTATTTGCTTTTACTTATCTAGAATTTTCGTCGAATCTAACATAATTGATCAAAATTTAAATTAAATAAAATTAACAAAGAATGAAAAGGTTATATTGATTAATATTTTCAGTTTTGTTCTGATAAGTTTAGAGTCGCATACCGATTTAAAAAGGTATATTAAATTTAAAAAATGGTAGGTATATTAAATTTAAAAAATGGTATATTAAATTTAAAAAATAGTATACATTCTACCGCAAAATATGATATTAAAATCTCTTACCCAAAAATAAACACTTGAACAACTAACTGTAGTGACAATTACCTAAGTAATAAAAAAGTTATTATAAATTATTTTAAAAGAAGATTTATTGCATATGCATTTTTAGTTCCTTTATGTATATAAAAACAAATCGTATTTTGATTATTAGTTTTAACATTTTCTTAAAACAGACGATATATCTTCTGCCAGTAGACATCTTAAATTTTGATTGTATTACTGAATATTAAACGTTGTGTTAAAGGGCTCATGGAACCTGCCATTTGGTGATGATGGAGCGCATCTCCAAGGGACAGTTAATAATTAATATATGTACTTTAATTTATAATCTCATACTTTTGTCTATATGGAATAACTGTTTCTTATGCCCTAAGTATTAATTTATGGACAAACACAGCTTTACCTATTCGATACATAATATCGAGTAAAAAAATATTTTATCATGAAATTATTCCAAACAAATCCAAGTAATAAAAGGAACTATTCTGTCAGCAAGGTCGAAAAAATGCTGTCTCAGCGGTTCAGTTCCGTGTGTTTCGTATGTATGTCACGGGCGTAAAATATAACAATAACATACTTATTAAGAATGTTTTTTGAGAAATTTAGACTTAAACATACAATTAATAATAAAAATTTGGCTAAATGAAATTTCCTCTTTATTATATTAGTGTTAACAAATATCAAAGTGAGTCATTATTCTAATAAGGCAATATTTTAAATAAATTATGTAGAGATGTTAGGAAATCAAGGAAGGAATTATAAATATAATTTCTTTACAGGTTGGATTTAAGGGGTACGGCCTGTCTCCAAGCGCCCTATCATCATCAGGCAGCTTCTCATTCAGTGATGGTCAGACTTACACCATCACCCACGGCTCCGTCATCATCGCGGCTATCACCTCTTGCACCAACACTTCAAACCCTAGTGTTATGCTTGGAGCTGGTAAGGATTTTTAAGTTTTCTATAATTTTTTCTGTTTAAATTTTTTTTATAAAACTAAAACGTTTTATAATTAATTCCGTAGGTCTTCTTGCAAAGAAAGCAGTTGAAAATGGATTAAGTGTACTGCCATATATTAAGACTTCGCTATCTCCCGGCTCTGGAGTAGTCACTTACTACCTTAAAGTGAGTTGTTTTTTTTTACATGACTAAACGTTTCTCAATTTTATTAATTATGATATACCATTGGTGGTATATTGATTTCCTTGTCATTGTTTGCGACAGGATTTTTTAAAAATTGCAAAATAATTTGTATACTATTATTTTAAAGTATGGCAGTGTTGACCTGATGGCTTACGCGTGCGCCTCTGACCCAAGTATGTAATATGTGTTTCACGCATTTAATACTAGTTCATACAGTGTAGGAAAACATCGTGAGAAATCCTTTGGTGATTGGTCTAAGTCTTAAGGTCTAGTTGAAGGTGTGAAACTGATACAGAAACCTGAGGCCCAGACCTAAAAAGGTGTCGTGCCACTAGTTTCTATAAAAAAATGATGAAGAACAACAACCCTTATATCTGTTTGTCTTTATCTCTCTTCAATACAAATAAACGTGACAAAATATATTTTTCATCCTTAAAGTTCGTTATTGTCTTAAAATATATTTTATTAACCTAAAATTTCCAGGAGTCTGGCGTGATCCCTTACTTGGAAAAATTGGGATTCGATGTAGTCGGCTACGGCTGTATGACCTGCATTGGTAACTCTGGACCTATTGATGATAATATCGCCAATACTATTGAGAAGGTATGTTAAAGGATTTCCGAACCAATTCTCCTTAGGGTCCTTCATGAAATGAGCGTACTTATTCTTAAATGAACGGCGAACGATCCCTCTGGTAGTGTGTATATGGGCGTCGGTGTCACTTAATATCAGGTTCCAGTTTAATATAAAAATTGAGAATTTTTATGTGATTTAAAACTCAAAAAAAGTTATTTTTATTTGTGTTTCATGATTATTTATAGAATACGGAAATATCATAATATACCTCTTAGGAATCTTTTAAAAAAGTGTTTTCTTTTAAAGAAATCACTTTTTTACCGGATTGAAGTTATGTATTATTGTAAACTTATAATTATGTTACATAATTTAAAAAAATTAAGTCCGTGACCGTGACCACGCACGCTGTAAAGCACGCGAAACGTCGTTTTCTTTTTATTCTTGTCAGCAGTCACAGATTATAAATATTGTGGAATCTCAGATTATAAACAACTTACCATCTATTAAATCGGTGTGTGTGAAATTATAATATTTTTTACAGAACGAACTAGTGTGCTGTGGAGTGCTCTCTGGCAATCGTAATTTTGAGGGTAGAATCCATCCAAATACACGGGCGAATTACCTTGCATCACCTCTTCTAGTCATCGCGTATGCGTTGGCGGGAACCGTTGACATCGACTTCCAAACCCAACCGCTTGGTAAGATCACACAGAATATTTATTTATTTAAACTCCGTTACATTACAAATAGTAACGAGTAACATAAATTATTAGGGTAACCCTAGTATGTGTGTTTGGAATACACATGTATCATATTTTATCGACATTTTACATCGATATCATATAATCGTCACTCGCTCAGAACTACATAAAACTGGTGTTGCGGGATTCGCGCGTGTGTGCGTGTACGCAGGTAACCGGTGGAACGTGGACAGTGCGCTTGGTGGCTTTGTATTTGACAAATTGACGCACATATGTTTATTTCTTTATATATTAAGTGAAATGTAACCAAACATTAAATTAAATTAATTCACTTTAAAATGGTGATTAATTTATTTACCCCATATAAGGAAAAATTTAAAAATAATACTAAGGAAATAAGTGCATTACGAAATTAATAAAAATAAAATTATAAGTAACATTGATAAATTATAAATACCAAACTTTTTAATAAAATAAAAAATAACTAAAAAATTAAAGCTTACTATCCCTGAATTACAATACAAAATAATAAGAAAATACATGAATTACAAAAGTCACGTAGGATAGCAAGTGTTTATGTCGAAGACTGCTAGATACCAACGAATTTTTTTATATAAGTGTTCATTCACTCTAACAAATGGTGATGTCGCTGGGATGAAAGGAGACAGATCTATAGCACGTTGAACGGTTTAATTATTCTGAATCTATACTAGATATAAATATAAATTGTTTGTTTGCATTGAATAGGCACTTTGTCTGGGCCGATTTGAAAAAATCTCCATCATAAGAATACGTTGTCTCTGATGAACATAGACTATATTATTATATATTTTCTTTATATTATTATTATTATTATTATTCTTGATATTTCTTTATATTATTTTATATTATATTTTCAGTTTTGGTTCTGTATAAAATTACGTGTAACCTAAGGTGTGAAAATGACTAATAGAAAGTCGTAAATCGTGTACGCTGCGGAAACTATTGATAAAGTGATGTACAGTTTTATAGAAGATATATTTACGTGTCCGTGTCCAGGTCTAACAAATACAAAATCTTTTTGCATTTTAAAGTCTATTTACCGAGAAAAGCTTTAGGCTATAGAACATAGAACATCGTGCTACGACCGAATTAATGCGATTTTTAATTTATATACATATTTTTATGTACTTGATACAGACTTAGATATCGGGTTGGGTTTTTAATTTCGTCGCACGAATTTGATGATACTGATTATGCAGGAGTGTCGGGGGACCTTCATTGAAACACCTCCAAGTGATTTTTGCTGCAGGAAACGCGTCTAAGTATTTAAAAAAAAAATTTGTGTAATGTATTGAAATTTGTAAACAATCCGCCATTTTCTACTTTTCTATTGGTTATAAAAGATGTGACATTCTCTTAAAAAAATCGTGTTTTTAATTTATCGATTGTTAATAATCGTTTTTTTATTTATCGATTATTTCCTCATTTTTTAAATTTATAGAATAATTTACATTGAAATTAACCTAATTTCGTGTTGATAGATTATAGGGTTCCGAAAATTTTGAAATTATCGATACCTACTCGTATTTCCTAATTAGTACTTGTATTTCATTGTTTGCAACTTTCTGTATTATTTAATTCGTACTAGAATAAAGTGTTTACTTTTATATCCAAAAATTACGCAAAACCGAATCAAATTCGTGCGACGAAATTCAATACTCTTAACTAGATATCTCCTAATTATTATTTTCTATGCCGTGCCAACAGTGAAAGGATTTATTTTTGAGTTTATTTAATTAACATTTTGAATGATAGGAAAGCGGGCGGATGGCTCGCCAGTATTCCTGAATGATATTTGGCCGACTCGTGCTGAAATACAGGAAGTCGAGAACAAACATGTCATCCCTGGAATGTTTAAGGAGGTGAGTTAACTAATGGCAATTAAATTAATATATACTAGGAAAGGAAATTAATATACTTACCTTTCCCTCGCAATATATTTATGAAAATATTATGTATGTATACAAAAATAGTGATAAGTTTACTAGAATAGAACATACGCACAATGTTAATACTCGGAACAAACGCAGGCTGCAATTTCCCCGTACTAGACTAAAGTTAGTAATTCTATTTTGGGAAAAGAGATACTCTTCTTTAATAAAATCCCAGAGGCTCTTTTATCTCTGCCTTTTAATAAATTTAAGAAATGTATGAAAGAAAAGCTGTGTAAAAAGGCTTACTATAAAGTTAACGATTATCTAGTTGATAAAACTGCCTAGGACTAGTGCTAGACAGGCTACTTCTAATTAATTTGCGATATTTGTTTTAAAATAAGTGTTGTTTGATGATTTGCTATTTTAAAAGAGTACCGAGAGTTTTTTACGCCGGCTTTTTCTCTCGGCCTACACCCTCTGTCTTTGCCGATGATTAGTGATGCCTACAAATTCAAATTTAATGACGTGGAATAAGTGATACATGTATCTTATGTTCCATAATAAACTTATTTTATATTTTATTTTTTTTATTTTATTTTTGGCTTTAGTCACTTTAAGGTTATCTAAAGGAGTATGTATTTACGACCAGTGGCGTAACTATACCCTCTGGGGCCCGTGGCAAATTCTTTTGATGGGGCCCTATCAGTAAAAATCGTCACGTTGTACTCAGTTTTATTTCATTAAACTTCGAGGTTTTAGATACTCAATTACACGTTGTATATGTCCCACTAATGGCCAAAGGCCTCCTCTCTTAGGCGAGAGGGAATGGTCTGTAGTCCCCACGCTAGCCCAATGCGTATTGGAGATTTCACATTCATCCAAAGAACATAATATCTCTTGGGTCGGGGGCCCGTGGCATTTTGCCAGCCCTGCCATCCTATTGTTACGCCATTGTACGTATGTATTAACATATAGGGGCCATATTGCTATGTTGTCTATGAATAGAAAATTAATTATTAATCTTTAACTGTAGAATTTTTTCAAAATACCTAATTTATAATTTAAAATACTCAATTCAATTGTGACAGTTTGTGATGTTTTATATATGTTAACGTAAAATTGTAAACACCGTTAGATTGTAATCTATCTCGCGAGATTATAAACTGTCGAAAGATTGTGAACTCAACGTACTGCTTACAATTTAACGTATTATTATTCGGTAGATTGTAATCTATCGAAGTGAAATCGTCAAATTGTGAAACGGTACGCAACTCGCGCGTTTCAGGTATATGAGAAAATTGAGCAAGGCTCTTCATCATGGCAGTGTCTATCAGTACCCGAAGGACAACTGTACGGCTGGGACCCGAACTCTACTTACATCAAAAGACCACCGTTCTTCGATGATATGGGCAGGGTAAAAACTGATCATTATTTTTATTATAATTTCTCCATGTAAAATGTTTTACACAGATATTCAAATTCCATTGCACCTCCGTGGCTTAGTGAATTATACTTCTTTGGCAATATTAATAATAGTTTTTGATTGCATGCAAATAATTAATTACAATTAAATAATCAAAGACTGGAAAAGGAATCATTATAGTCAATAAAGTTCAAGTTTCATTATAGTGAAAAATTAAATAAATAAACATTTATTATTATTCTCTTACATTAAGTATAACATAAATTCTATTATTATTCGAATGTTGTTTTTAAATTATGTCCAATGCCGTAGCATCTTCAGTGGGCAACTTCATTCTGTTAATTGTGTGTCACGGTGCGCGCGCAGCGTAAAATTTCACTCTCATCAATTTTTCATAACGCGCCTAACTTCAAAACTGTATAAAAAATTACATTGTTATATAGTGTCTATTTAACCCTTAAAATTTTTCGTCATTAATTATTCTATATTATAAAATAAATAAAATAAAATCTTAACAGAAGATTATATATTATAATATTTCCTAAATCCCAGGATCTTCCACAAGTAAAGAGCATAGAGGGCGCCAGGTGTCTTCTACTTTTGGGCGATTCTGTGACCACGGATCATATCTCGCCAGCTGGATCCATTGCTAGGAACTCCCCCGCTGCTAGATATCTTGCTGGAAGAGGGTAAATTATAAAAATGAATTGCTATAAACATTATGGGACTTTTACGTAACAGGGAACGCAAACGGGCAGGAGGCTCACCTGATGTTAAGTAATCTCGCCGCCCATGATAGACACTCACATTGCCAGAAGGCTCGCGAGTGCAATTCCAGCCTTTTACGAATTATAAATACGCTCTTATCTTGAAGAGGGTCCTTAAGGGAAGTCGAATTGGTTAAGTAATACATTGGTCGGCAGCTGGTTCCACATAATGGTGGTGAGCGGCAAAAGCTGCTTTAAAAAACGCTCAGTTGCGGAACGACGGACGTGATACGTCTGTTTCAATAGTTACACTACAGAATCTATACCATTAATTTTAATTCTAGCTTTTAAAATTTTAATAAAAAAGACCCACCAAAACGCTTCTTTAGACAAGATGGCGTCGCACTAGTCCCTACGACGTACCGTGCTTGTTAATTATTATTCTTAAATTACACATCGATTCAAAAACAGTCTCCGACGAAATTAAACACTAAGAACTTATTAGGATTAGACAGACGGATGGATACGTCATCGTCGATTCGACTAATCTGTGACTAGTATCACGTGACTGAAGTTACTTCAGTACAATACTTCAGTGAAGTAAAAATTAAAAAATGTAATTATGGATTTTTTGATGTGTTAATAATAATTTACAAGTTATACTATAACTTTTTAAAGCCATGTGTTATTCGGATAACGCATTAACACTTAATTTTTCTTGGCAAATTGTTGCAAATCATTTCTTAATAAAAAACTATGTAATCAGTTGGCAATTTAAGGAAAACATATTTTCACTATAAATCAAACTTAGCGTTGAGTAACTATACTGGTATATTAAATTTTATTGTATATTTCTTTAGATAATATATATAATATGTACTTCCAAACACAAAAATACACCCTTATTAAGAAAAACTAACACTCTTAACCAAAGTACTATTTCGTCTCTTTCTTTCAAGTTTTGTTTGCACAGTGATGAAAAGAGACAGATTTAGTGGAATGGTGTGAGACTGATTTGTTATTGAGTATGTATTCTTGAATATATTTAGGCACGTTCCATTTCAGTTTGACCCCTCGAGAATTCAACTCCTACGGATCCCGTCGTGGTAACGACGCAGTCATGTCTCGTGGAACATTCGCGAACATTCGTTTGGTCAACAAGATGGTTGATACGGCTGGACCGAAAACGAAACATCACCCCAGTGGAGACGTCATGGATATATTTGATGCGGCTGATAGGTGAGTTGATGAGATTTTTTTTTTTATTGTACACACTCGTTACTTACACAACACAGCCGAATTAGATATTACTTAGTTAAATGTTATAATTTTTATTGATTTTTCTTTTCGTAAATGCTTGAACCTTTTTGTATATATTATGTATTCTATCTATGACTATATCTTTAGAATAACTGTTTATACACCTATATTACACGCCTATTTTTTTTTTATTAGGTTATTTTTTAACCTCTTAGGCAAATTTTGGGAGGGGACAACCCCTCCCCCCCCTCCTTGTAAAACGTTCATATTATTTTCGACTTTCCATTACTTTACACAACATACAACCGGTCACGAAACGTTTTACTATTGGGTACAGAAAAACGTTACGGCCCGTTACATGGGGGAGGGGGGTCATTAATCTCCAAAAATTGCGTGACGTAATACTTGAACGCTCCCTAATGTTTACTATAGTAAATTGTCAAAAAAATAATAATTTATCAAGTGACGTACGGGTTGTCCATTTATACATTTATCATCTGTATTACAGATACGCTAAGGAGAATGTTCCGCTGATAGCAATAGTGGGCAAGGATTACGGATCTGGCTCCAGTCGAGATTGGGCTGCAAAGGGACCTTATTTATTGGTGAGTTAGTTTTTTTTAAACATGGAATACACACATGTCATAAATGCTTTTGTGAGGTCAATGCCATTTCTTTAAACTCTAATAGGAATATTTATTAGTAGTTTTATTCCTTTTTAATTCGATATAATATATATGTATATTATAATTGCTAATAGATTTATTATATTTAAAAATGTATATAGATATTATAGTCTGTTTTTTTAGGTCAAAACAGTGTAAATAAAAACGTGTAGCTTTTTTTAATTATTATTACATATATAGTAAAAAAAGAGTTTTGTGTCTACCAGGAATCACTCTACTTATTGACCAGTGATAATATGTTGTTATGGAATACAACAAAATTAAAGTTGTGGTCACTAAAGTACAATTTAACCAAGCCATTGAAACTACATATTTATTTGCATTAAAATAAATTCACAAGACCAAATTTTTTCCAGGGCATCAAAGCGGTGATAGCAGAGTCGTTTGAGCGTATCCATCGTTCCAACCTCGTCGGTATGGGCATAATGCCGTTGGAGTTCCTGCCTGGAGAAAGCGCCGAAACCCTCGGGCTCTCTGGGGAGGAGTCTTACTCCCTTCACGTGCCGGAGAATCTTCATACTCACCAGCTGCTCACTGTAAAGGTGTGTGTGTGTTTATTAATTTTATTAAGTAAGGCTACGAAAACATCAGAAAGCCGGTTTAACCTTGGGGCACGCCTCTGTATAAATTCCTTTTCTAACTGTCTTTATATAAGGGAGCGTTCAAGTATTACGTAATAAATTAGGGGTGGTCTTGTAAAACGTTTCAATGTGTTACAGGGGCGGGAAGGGGGTTTTGTTTTAAAAAATATTAACGCGTTTTTTGCAAAGGTATTTTAGCGACAATCCGGTATTTGCGGCCACATAGTGACTTAAAAAAAGTGCGTGCGTACAAAGTACACATGTCAGACGTGAAACTTCTTTGGCAAACTAATTTTTAAGTCTTGTTCATATTTATACAAATTTAAAACTTTAGATTTCCGAGACTTAGATTTATATTAGATAAAATATAACGGAGAGAGTCGGTAGTGAGGATTGAGAGACAGAGTCAGGGACCGATAGTTGTCAAAACAACAAACGATAACCTGAACAATGTCTCGAAAGCACGACCTGAATTTTAAACAAAACAGGACCTGCCTAATATTTAAAATTATGATAAATAACGTTTAATAATAATAATGACTATGGAGTCATTATTATTATCGACCATTGAATAGTCGTTTTGAAATAAACCATTCGTATATTACGGTTTTGCACTAATTTGACTTTGACGTTATTCATTTAATATGACAATAATGACAATGGCAGCTGACACTAACACCATTGATTCAAAATACTATTCAATTACTACAGACTATAAAATAGCCTGTTAATTTGTAGATCTTAACTGTTTTGACTTTGAAGTTATTAATTAATGAAAGTGGCAGCTGACACCAGCGCCACCACCCCGATATATATTATATATTATACTAGCCGTTTCGCGCCCGCTTTGCTGGACGAATTAAAATAAATTTTATGTTTCATTATTTTATTTTTTTTCATATTTTTATTATTCTTCTTTTTAACTTCCCGCTAAGAAAATTGAAATATTTCGAAAATCGAGTTTTTAACAGATGTTGACGTTTAGAGGTTCTAGGAAGCCTCCCCGAATGTTTCCGCGGTGAAGTCCGTATGGATAAATTTTCATAAAAGTAAAACAGCAATAAAAAAATGAAGGAACGTTGGAATTTAATAAATAAATAGCCATAAACCATTTAGGAAAAATTTCGCATCGAATGGTGGTAGTTTCATGTCGATACGATCAGTGGTTTAGGCGTGAAGGAGCCTCAAACGAAGACCATTTTTCTTTTATATATATAGATTAGAGGGAGGGAAAAAGGAAGATATGTTAGGAATTTCATTGTCATTGAAATATTAAGTGTCGAAAAATAATAAAAATTATAAATTTAATTTTTTTCGATACTGAAAACACGTGGCATTTTAATTTACAGTTCGTCATTTGAGATTTCAATAAATTATTTTGCATAAAATATAAAATACTTACTAATATTTCATAAATTCTCTAACGAAATTTTAATTTTAAAAAGAGAATTTCTATAAGGTAATTCGCCCTTCTCACTTTCTCTTAATCGGTCTCTCCCTTTTCTTCGACAAAAACGCTGCACATCTTCGTGACGTTCCGTAAAAATTTTACCCTCATGAGCCTAAAGAAGTTTCACTTCAAAAATAGTTACTTGGTGCTCACATGAGGGATCAAAAACCTCAAAAAATTACGTTACGTAATACTTGAATAAGAGGTAAAATTATAAATATAATCAATACACTATTAATAGACTGCCCAAATAAGATAAGAAATTGCTAATTAATTCTAGAGTTGATTTTATATTTCTAGGTATCAACAGGAGAGTCATTCCAAGTGAAAGTCCGTTACGATACTGAAGTAGATCTCACCTACTTCAGAAACGGAGGTATCCTCAACTATATGATTAGACGGATGCTGTGATCCCATCCGATTATGACCGCGCGTGGTGACACTTTACGAATTTAACGGGTTGGGAATGGCCGGATATTGGCATATTTGTATTTATATGATTTACCCTTATTATATTGACGTGTTTTTGATTTTTTAATAAATTTAATTATTGGGGCGGGGAAACAATATAATGATTTTTTATAGTTAGTATGAACTTTTGAATGAATATATATAAGGTTGCAGAATTTATGTATGCGCCGCATGCGTACTGCAAATATACAGTGTGATTAAAAAATCATAGTTTTTATATTTTACAATTGTGCGAGGTGGATAAATTCAACCAGCGAAGCTTGCACCATCTTTTTTTAACTGGAACTAATTAATAAAATGTTTAGTTCCTATTAAAATTATATTTGCTATAAATCTAAGAATAAATATATAGAAATACCAGTTTATATTTATAGAACAATTGCGTAGGTAAAAATATGTAATCTTAGGAATAACGTTTATATAAATTTATGTAATTAATGTTAATAAAAATAAATTTATATTGTTTATGTTGTGTTTCATTTAACTCAAAAATTTCACTAATTCTTGAAGAGTTTCTACTCTAGTGTTATGCTTTACTACTCTAGTGTTACTTAATATGTTAGCTTTGAGCGTGAATTATCTCTATATAAATTTGATTTTTTTTACTATTCAATAAGGCTATCGATGGTACGTAATCTTTTAGATTTTTGCATTTTAGTAACATGTAGTTGCCAAATACAAAAAAAATACTTATCGATAACATATTAAAGCCACAAAAATCTTTTAAATTAATACAATATTTTCAAGATGCGGCAAACGTTATTTTTTATAACAACTAATATTAATATTAAACTTTATGGCTTTTTAATACCAAATCTTTAAAAAAATTGGGATAGCTTATTATTGGAATAACTTAAAAAAATAGTTAATTCACCTATTCTCAGATCTAAGGAATATATACAAAAATTACATAAAAATTAGTCAAGCTGTTTCATAGTGGTTACAAACTCACACACACGAATTATATATTTAGAGTACACGCTTAGGTAAATCGTATTTTTTTAATTACTCAGCTCATTTAAACGTATGGAACTTAATTAAAAAGTATTAAATCGAGTTGGTTGTGAAACAATTGGTTACGACAATGCGTGTTATAATATTAATTTTGTGTCTTTATTTGGTTGAATGTAAAATTAATTCGAAGGCTTTAACGGAATCTCTGGGGCAGGAGGTTATAGAAATAGGTGCGCCAGTCAAAGGTTTGTATACAATAACTGAATTTCATGAGCTGTGTGATGCTAGTTTTCCGAATCCTTCGGTCAAGCATTTTCACTCTGTGCACTACAAATACTTCCTTTCACAGTAAAATATAAGCATACTATAACAACCCTGAGGTTAATTAGTAGTTACGATCTTATCTGCACTTGATGGGAGCAGTGATGGCCTAGTGGCTTCAGCGTGCGACTCTCATACCTGAGGTTGTAGGTTCGATCCCCGGCTGTGCACCAATGTACTTTCTTTCTATGTGCGCATTTAACATTCGCTCGAACGGTGAAGGAAAACATCGTGAGGAAACCGGCTTGCTTTATACCCAAAAAGTCGACGGCGTGTGTCAGGCACAGGAGGCTGATCACCTACTTGCTTATGACAAATGATCATGAAACAGATTCAAAAATCTGAGGCCCAGACCTAAAGTGGTTGTAGCGCCACTGTTTTTTTTATCTGCACTTGATATAAAGAGAAAATATTTTGTTTTTAATGCGCAATACAATATTTTCAGTGTTCTTACTTCTTTGAGTAGAATACCCTTATATACATAGAGACAATATTTTAGAACTGCCAGCTGAATTGGAAGAGGAACCATCTGTTGAGAATGACGGGGACGTCACCAGTACTACGATACAAGTCGCTACTAAGCAGGACACTCGCAAGAAAATGGCATGTATTACCTGTGAACGAATTTTTCACGTTTAGGGTTACCAACATGCACTTATGGGACAGCCTGTCTCGGCATTTCGTACTGTAGTGGTTGTGTTAAAATAAAGGTTGATGATGTTCAGTGCCTATGGGAGCGTTCAAGTATTACGTAACGAATTTTGAGCGGGGGGGTCCTTTTGTAAAACGTTATGATACTGGGCGGGGATTGAGTTACGCGTTATTGTTAATATTATTTTGGACTTTTCAGTACTTTACACCAAATAATGGTAACTTTTAGGTATAAAGAGTCACTGGGTGGTCACGAAACGTTTTACTATTGGGTACAGTAAAACGTTACGGAACGTTACATTGGGGGGATAAAACTGTAACTTAAATAAGTGTAGATTGAGTATGTTTTCATAATTACTCTTCCTAAGAGGTCGCTTTAAAAACTGGCGATGGTAATAATACCATATCGAAATGTATGAAAATCGTTAATAGAAAATAATTTTAACAATGTGTTAATTTAGGATAAACAAGGGAAAGATATAGACAGGATAGATGGGATAAAGCAGGACGACGAAGAAGCTAGGATTGAAAAGGAACTCGCTGAAATTTACAAGGACTCTTCTGGTTAGGCGTTTATTACTTAGTATAATTAAAATCTAAAAACAGTCTTTTAATCTTCTAAACGTAATTATTATTGATAAATGTTCATTTTATACAATAGTTAATGGTCCTGTTTATGATATCCGATAAATATTACAAAATTAACAGCTTCGGTAACATCTATATAATTTTCCGAACGATGTTCAGTTTTGGAGGGAAAGGCTAAATGAGTCTCTAAGAAACTTGGTGTGCTCAGCAAGGTAAGACGTTACTTCAGTCAGGGCCATCGCTTGCAACTGTATAAAGCGCAAATTTGACCCCACATGGAGTACTGCTATCACATCTGGGTGGGTACTCCCCAGTAGGTACAAGCTCCTTCTTCTTCACCGTATTCAATGAAGAGCGGTTCGAATTCTCGACGACCCATTCCTTTTCCGAGCGGCTTGATCCCTTGACGTTTTCTAGAGATGTGGGGTCACTGCATTTTCTATCGCATTTACAACGGAGAGAGTTCAGAGTTTCATCATCGGATGACGAGGCAGAATACGGAGTGCCACTTGTATCACCTCGACGTCCGTCGTTCCACAACTGAACGTTTTTTAAGGCAGTTTTTGCCGCGCAGTACCACTATGTAGAACCAACTGCCCTCTGAAGTATTCCTTGTCAGTTATTCCTCGTCCTTCAAAAAAAGAGCGTACCAATCCTTAAAGGGTTGGCAACGAACTCGCGAGCCCTCTGGCATTGAGAGTGTCCTGGCATTGTGGTCCTCAAAGCCCGCAAACATCAGCTGAGCCTCCTGAACTTTGAACTTATTACATTAGTTTTTTCAAAAAGGAGACTCCGTAAGTCGTAGTAAAATATAATGACGTCTTATTTGGAATTCCCCGAAATAATAGCAATAAAAACCAAAATGAATGTTCGGCACCGGAGTTAATTTTATAAAAAAATGTATCTCGTTGTATATAATCACTTAACGCATATGCCGTCTCATAACCGAGCCCTAACAAATAGTGTGTATGTAAACATAGTACTTCGTAAAAGTTTGAACAACTATTCTAATAAAATATGTTTAGATTATAAATCGGAGAGCAGTGAAGAGAAAGAGAAACCGAAAACCGAAGTGTCTACTCCAAATACTACAACTTTGATTGGAAACTTTACTGATGCTTTGGATGGGGAAGAAAAACCTATAGAAAGAATGAGGACGAAGTTCGTATAAATTGTATTTTAAATTATTATTATTATATAAGATAGAGAACGATTTTATTTTTACACAAATACAGTATTTACAAATTCCTTAACCTATAAAGTTATAATAAAAATAAATAAAATGAAAATCAAAACAAATTTAAAAAGTTTGGTTCCTGTGGCAGTGTACCTTTAACGCTGGCAGCATTTCCTCGGCCCTCGCTGTATTGCGAGACTTATTCGTTGAGCCAGGAAAGTGCCAGCTCTGGGGTCACCGGTACTACCTACTAGGCGCCAACTTAAATCTTTAATAAGCGCCTGTGCACTTGAACCCCACGGCTCAAGAGTCTCTACTCCAAAGGGAACAAAATCGAAGTTGGAGGAAAGACTCTTATATTTGTGCCGTTTATTATTTTCTGCCTGCTCTGCGGCCGCTAGCTTTTTTTAGTACATATTTATTTAAACTTAAAGAATAAAAGAGGTTCTACGAGTGCGATACTCTTTCAGTAGCTAATAATCTAGACAAAGAAATGACTATGAAGTTCGTATTAAAAATAAGAACTTTTATTTTACCATTATTTTTACTTTGGGAAGCTATACTTCTGAACTGTCAAATTATTATAAAAACCTTCGTTATGCTGGACAGAGGCGCTAGATAAGATTTACAAGTGTTATTGACGCAGACTTTACATTCTAGCTTAATACTTTGTCGAACTCATTATGCCCACTTCAAGCAGAAGGCTGAAAGAATGATTACTTGTATTATACATAACCCTATATTTTAATGAACAATAGTTTTCATTCTTCTTAATTCTATTTTGCGTAAGATCACAAATTTTTTGTCTACGTGTGCAGATAACTTTCGCTCGTTTGGTGAAAACGAGAACATCGTGAGATAACCGACATGCCCTAGACTCAAGGATCGACTTGTGTCAGGCACAGAAGGCTGATCACCTACTTGCCTATTAAGAAAAATAAATTATCACAATACAACGACAAAAATCTGAAACCCAGACCTATCAGGCTGTACTGCAACATATTTTTCTTAATACTCCGTTATAAGATTCATTTGTGATCCAGTGATGATGCAACGCTGTTTGAAGAAGACACATTTCTTATTATTGCACTAATAATTTTCTATTTCGAAACAATAACTGTTCTCGATTCACTTCCAGGGTAAATAAACGCAGCATTATAGTAAACATAATCTATATATTGATTAGCTAATAATGAATAAATTTCATAGCTTCAAGTTTCAACCGAATTCTAACAACGCTAGAGAAGTTGAAATATTCCGGACATCTGTTGATGAAATTACTTGCGATAGGAACAAATTGTCTGCTACTGTTAGTAAAACAATTTATATTTTTCCTGTATTTATATGCCGTAGCTTCATGCTACCTACACATATACATATTTAAATACCTTGATATTGTAACTGTATTTTTTTAACATAGATAAAAGATAGTTTTATTACATCATGAATTACATTTTAATTTTAGCAAACAAAATATATAATATTAATTATAAAGAAACATCTTATCTATTATGCTAAGATAAGCTTGTTATTAACCTCCTGCAATTATCATTACATATAATGCCCAACATCTGAGATAATCAAGCAATGTTTGTAGCTGCGTGTGACTTGTATATCTGAGGTTGTAGTTTTGACCCATGGAAGCGCACCAATGGACTTTCTGTCTATTCACTCATTTAACATTCGCCTTTACAGGGAAGAAAAACATTGTAAGGAAATCAGCATCCTAAAAAACAAATGATTAATTATAATCATATAATGTAAAATGTTGAGTGTAATAACAACCTTATGAAGTGTGTCCTGAAGGTTTGTTTTAAAACTTGTTAGTATTATTTTGAATAAAGGTATTATTAACTCTTTATCTTTTACAGACCACAGGACCAAATTCAGCAGTTCAAGCCGCACTTAACTCAGCAATAATTATTGCAATTACTATACTTGCGTTATAAATTTATTTGCCTTCTAAATTAAACATTCTTGGATTTTACTGTTTATTTAATACAAAATTAAGCTACACAATTATTATTACCAATCTTATATTTTTAACATGATTAACATTAAACTCAAGTACATTTCTCAGATTCAGTGTCAAACTATGCATTATATTATATACAGGTGCTGACATCTACAACTTCAACAACTACTTTTGTTTCCATATCAACATTACACAGTTACTGAGTGTAATACAAAATACAACACTAAACCAACACACTTTTACATTTATGTTATTAAACATTAGAATAAACCTTAATATACACATTATACTCTAAACAGATCGAACACACTGATTTATAATTTGCACCAAGTTGTTATTCTCTAATGCAGCTGCAATCCTTTCTTTATCCGCTAACTGTTTGTTTACTGCATGTTCTGATACATGAGTTCCTTCTGTCACTTCAACCGTCACTTTAAACCTGCTTGGCAGGGCTCGGAGAAGTTGGACTCGAATTGAAAGACCTAGAAGATAATTTAGTTTTTATTTTTGCTGCACTACTAAATAAATATGCAATAATGACTGCAGATCTAAAATAATTAACTATAGCCTTTTTTATAATTTAAGCAATAAAGAAGTTTAGCATGTACTTGCTTTACTTGTACATGCCTTAATTGTGTATAGCACAATAGACGTAAGACAGTTTAAATTCAAAATGTAACTTCAAAACCCACCTATCAACGTTGCCATGCTGCAATGGGGAATTGTTGGTGTAAAGTACACATGTACCAAATTATTTTTATTATCAATAATAACATTGCTCTCCTCGACAACACGAAGTTCTTCTAAAGTCAAGGGATGTTCTGGGTCGCTGATGTTTCGGATGATATCAAAAATTTCACGTTGGTCAAAATCATCATTCAGCTCTTCATCCAAATCGCTTTTAGTAACTTCTCGTACCGAGCCCTTCTCATATACGTTAGGGTTTACATTATCAGCGACTTTCATGGCTAAATTTAAGCGATTAACTTTTCTGCAATCTACTAGTTAGAAATAATAAATAAATATTATTTATTACACACAGTCAACAGCGCGTTTACTATTTTGATAACAATGTCGACAATGTTGACAGCTGTGAGCTGTCAGTTACGTAATTATACAGGTAAACGCAGTCTGCTAGAAATTGACATAGATAGCATAGATAACAATAATGTTTTTAAAATTTATTTAGTAAACAGACGTGAACTATTTGAAATTATTTAAAAATGTTTATTTCCTTTAATATCTTCGAAATACCTCAAGAAATAAGTTTACAATTCGATAAAACTTTATTTAAATAACATCTATAAGGCATTTTTTCCATTATCTAGTAAGTTATGTCAATTATCAAGTTCAAGTTGGTTTAAGTTACAAGTTAAAATGACAGTTCTCGATCAATACACAAATCGAGGGAGGTCTTCTCACAATTTTTCTTATTATAAAATTGATCTAGAAAGGGAGGCGTAAACAGTAAAGATTTCTCACATTGTACAAGCCAAAAGGAACTGTAAGTAACATTTGGTATTTATTAATATATATCGCTACAACAAAGCAATCGTTTTTTTTAAATTGTTTTACAGTGTCCTTATTAAATTCCCAATAGATTCAAATTATAAAAGCAGTAATATTGTTGGTTTGCCAGTATTTACTGTCCCTGTCTGTCTAGGAGAAATACGATAGACTAGCCCTGTTACTTTTGCATATTTTATAAATTTAGATGATAACTATCTCTGATGTATCTAACAATATCTTCTATTAGCTGGTGTCTCAAACCATTAAATTTTTTTTATCGATCTAGTAGTTTAAAAACATACTACACAATGACTTTAATTTTTACAATAAGTTGAATTAATTTGTAGCACCATGGCTGATCCGTGGATGATACAGCCACATGAGCATGCCAAGTTTGCTGAACACTTTAGAAATATTGGCCCTGTCAATGGCATCCTCACTGGAGAACAAGCTAAAAGATTTATGCTACAGGTATTACCATTATTCCTGGGATAATTTTTACATAGTAAAGAGTTTAAACCATCCTTATTTTTATATTTTTTATTTACTATTATTTTTATATTTCCGTCCTTATGTTTTGATATGAGTATCAAAACATTACTTAAAATTAAGCATCTAAAATTTATGTCAGTTATACATAAATTTTAGATGTGAATTACTTCACAGAAATACTTTTGTTTTAAAGTCCTTCTTATTACATACAAATGGTCCACCCCATACCTAATAGTTAGGATTTTAAGTCACTTTATTTAAGCTTTATTTATTACATTAAAGTATGTTTTTACTAAAAAATAATCTTATTAGAATACTTCTATTTTAATAATGTAATTAACTATATTACTTTCTTAATGGAAAGAGTGGATGTTGTAGTCTAAAGTATCTACTATTTACAGTCCCAGCTTCCACCACTGGTTTTGGGTCAAATATGGACATTGGCAGACACAAATGCTGATGGAAAGTTAGATCTTAAAGAATTTTCAATTGCTTGTAAGGTATGTTTTCAATATTTCATTATTTCTAATATTATATAACAGGTGTATATACATATAATTGCTTGCTGCATGACTTTATATTCATATATTTTATATTTTGATATAGTGTTTTTGTACACAAGACTTCACACTGGCTGGATAGAGAATTTACATATGAGTTCAGTAATGAAAGTGAAAGGATGTTATAAACTGTTTATTAATGTTTAATATGACCAACTAAATAACAATGTTTTCCAGATTATCAATTTGAAACTGCGAGGTGTTGAAGTACCTAAAACCTTACCACCCTCACTTTTGGCATCTCTTAGTCCTACAGGTATATTTATTTGTTTAAGACAAACTAAAAAATAAGTTACAACTAAAGGATAATCTCATTAACATTTTCTTGGACATCACCTCAATCTATTCATTTAATTACATGCTAATTACTTGTTTGTTTTATTTAAGTGGTTATGTAACAAACATATTATTATGTAATATTTAACAAGGGCACATTTTATTAGTAAATCTAAAAAGTTTAAATACTTACTTATTATTAATGTCAATATTATTATAAAGATACACTTATACAAAAACTAGATGCTTATCTTTTATGCAGGTGTCTTAATATTTTTTTTACAGGACCTAAACAGAACTTCCCACCCCCAAAACCACCAATCCCACCAATGCCGGCCGCCATGACACAGCCACTTATATCTGGCTTACAATCAACCCCTACTCAATCACTTTTAGGAGATTTATCACCACCAGGCAAACATACTGTACCAGACTTGATTTCTGGTGTAAAACCAACCCCGCCTTTAATTCCTCCACAACCCGTTCTCAACCAACCTTTAGTTGGCATGACTCCAATGTCTCAACCAATGATTCCTAATCAACCACTTCTTAGTCAGCAGCCACCACAACCAAGTCAACCTTTAATCGCAACTTCTCAGCCTTTAATTGGTCAAACAGTTAGTCAGCCCTTACTCGGTTCTGAAGCGATGATATCACAGGCGCTAGGCTCACAGCCTCTTATGTCACAATCGTTTATGGATTCTCAACCACTGTCCCAGTCATTAATGGGATCGGCCCCGATTATGAGTCAACTACCATTACAAACTTCTCCAACAACAGCTATGGGGACAATGCAACCCATGACACCCCAACCGATGGGTATGACACCACTACCGACTAGTCAACCCATGGGGATCAACCCACCGATGACCAGCCAAGGCATTACACCTCTAATGGGAATGTCACAACCCATGGGTGTTCAACCAATAACATCGCAACCTATGCCAGCACCTCAACCGCTGGTAGCAACTCAACCTCCCATCCCTACTGGGACCACTGTAGCCTCAATGGTTAGCCCTCCAAAGAGCGGAACACCGACCACTGCGGGCTCGGTGCTTGGTGCTCCTGTAACCTCCACGCCGATAACGGCTGTTAAAAGCGATTCCTTTGGATCTAAACCAGGTGAGAGTTGTTATGTAAATGTGAACAGAATCAATTTGTTTGATTATAAATAAATCGTTTATTTGCAAAGAAAGTGGTACATTTCGATCGATTAATTATAAAAATCCGCAATCAGCCATATAACAATAGGCATGCAATTGGTACATTAATTTTCATATCATCAGACTTACTGAATATGCATTAAAAAATTCATAAGAATCTGTCGAGCCGTTTCGGAGGAGTATGGGAACGAACATTTTGACACTAGAGTTTTATATATTAGATAAGGTCATAATAATGAGTTATTTATAATTATGACAACAATTCCCCTTGAACGCATTACACTGCCGCGGAAGTACAACTTCTAGGAAGGTGATTAAATAGTAGCCATGGCCTAAAAATTTTTTGAATACATGGCACCACAGCCGTATTATACGAACATAACACACAAAGACGCCAAAGTGCTTTGTATGAAATTCTAATATAAGACTGACGTATAAAACTATTAAATTTGCTTTCAGGGTCAGGTGTAACAAGTCCTACAGATTTGCCGATGGGCGTGGTTAGTCCTCCGCCGGTCGATTGGAGTATACCACAGCCCCAAAAATTAAAGTAATGATTTCTTATTTAAATAAAAATTGCAATGTTACTATGCTTACGGCTAAGGTGAGTTTGTGCTCTGTGCCGTTAAAAAAATATATTAAAATGAATACATGAAGATGTTTCGGGCGCCGGTGATCCAAAACAAATTTTCGTAGAATAAAGAAGTGAAGTTTCTCAGTTCCAGAAATCTGTTTCATTATTAACTAGGCTCTGGTATAGAATATAGAAATTTCAGAAGTCAATATAAAAAAACTTCATCTTTCTCTAAACGTACAACAAATACATAATATAAATTTATTTAATTTTGATTTGTTTTATACTGGGCTGATGATACAAATGGAGTATTTATGGCCTTGACTCAATGTGTATTTCAGATTGTACAAATATGTTATGATTGGCCCACAAACTAATTGGCCAGTTGTGCAAGCCGTTTTTATGGGGTTTCTACTATCTCAAAATTCGAGAATTTTCCCCCACCACGGAAATTCCGTAGTAATAAAACCAGTGGATCTTCAATCTTTGGTCTTGGCTTCAGATAGGAAGCGTTCAAGTATTACGTCATGCAATTTTTGAATATTATCGAGTAAAGAGTAACGCGCCGTAACGTTTTTCTGTACCCAAGTACAGTACTGTACCCAAGTATAGTAAAACGTTTCGTGATCACCTAGTGACTCTTTATACCCAAATGTTACCATTATGTGGTGTAAAGTACTGGAAAGTCGAAAATAATATTAACAATAACGCGTAATTCAATCGGGGGCCCCGCATCGTAACGTTTTACAAAAGGACCCCGATATCTGAAACCATTCATAATTTATTTCTATCTTTCTCATTATAGGAAAGCAATTTGTAGGCTTTGTTCGACGCATTCATTTTTGGGTCTAAGCCGGTTTTCTCCTTCACCATACGAGCAAGTTGATTGCCCACATGACAACTGTATTAGCCAAGTTTCGTGCCGAGACTAATATCATTCTTATTGTTACATCAAGGTACACGCAGCTATTTAACGCGACTGATCGGGCCAAAGCCGGTTCTGTATCAGGGGCTCAAGCTCGCGCCATAATGCTTCAATCACGGCTACCACAGGCCACGCTGGCTCAGATCTGGGCATTAGCGGATTTGGACTGTGACGGAAAGTTAGGTAAGGTTATATTAACAGATTTGATAAATACTGAAAGTAAATCTATATATATCATTATAACATAATTGCTTAAACAAAAGAATGTTGTAAGGTAAATTTCACGTTAAAGACATAGTGAATGCATGAAACTATATGTAACATCACTCGAATGACATATAATTCTTAACCTAACCCCGCTATGTATTCATTAATGCAGAATAAACAATTAGCTTTTACATTCACAGATTAAAATATATTACCAAAAATTTTCTCAGTTTTATAAGGTCAAACTGTAAATTATTGATAGAGAGAAAAGCCTTTAAGCTTATCATCCGGATTGTTCTAGTATGATAATCGTGTAAATAAATAAAACGTGGGGCACTCGGGGACTGCCGCGGTAAAGCTATTGCATAGCATTTTTTATCAACTTATTAAATTATAATTATTTATTTATTTTTTATTCATGCAGTATTTTCTTTGATATTAATTCAATCTACCACTTTACCAGACTCAGAATAACACGCCTATATAGTCTGTCTCACGCTTATGCGTACCGGCTGCACCGGCCGCGCTTACGCTACGTCACCGATCTTGTCAGAGAGATGTGAATACAGTCATACTGTATACGAACGCATACGTTCTGTCCCGCTCTATCGCGTATGGCCCCACCTATATTATCATCGTGTGTTAGATTTTTTTCGTTACGGAATTTCTTGATTCGGTCGCCGCGCTCAAAGCCCGCGATAAAAGCTATGCAATAGCTTAAAAAAAACCTTTGTTTCTTTATTAATTAATTAGTTAATTCTTGCTTAAGAATCTTCCAACCATTAACATAAACCCCTTCTAGCTAAAGACATCTAAGGTCCAGCCAACCAGTGGCTATAAAACACTACATGGCCCTTGGCCTGAGATTGCATTTGTTTCTTTGATCATTTAAAGAAAAAAACTTTTAAACCGGATTAAAGTTATGTATTATCACGGTCACGGTGACCACGCACGCTGTAAAGCACGCGAAACGTCGGTTAAATTTAAAATTGTGTTCAATAATTGTAAATTTATAATAATACATAACTTTAATCAGGTTAAAAAGTTTTTTCTTTAAATGTGTAAAGGTTATGTCAATAAAAGACAATTCTTTAATCATTTTTATTTCTTAGGGTGGATTCGACCAAACAAGAGTAAATCTTAATCTTAGAATAAATCGTCAGTTAATCGAGAGTAAATCAGTTTTACGTTTTACCATCTACAAATTCTAAGAATAGTGGGCCTATTCGGGGTTATTACTATACCGCCGTTTCGCACGGAATAACAGCTATTCCTAGAATAATTGAATGGCGTCAATCAGTCCAATCATCTGATTTCTGTCATTTCACAAATATGTATTCTGTGTTTTAATTTCAAGTCAACGCAACGCACTAAATTAATAGTCTGGCATTGTATAATGAAACGTTTAAACAATTTATTATTTATTTATTTATTTTTAGTTTTTTTTATTTTCTATAATATTATAATGAAATTCAACTAGGCTCAACAGAAGTTCCTTTTTAGACGACGGCCTCAAACAAACAACAAATAAAAACTTTTTGTTGTCGTTTGACGCCTGCCTAAAAGCTACTTTTTCACAGTATAATACGGCAAAATCGAGTTGACATGATGTATGGTCTTAAATTGTCCCGTTGTAGAACAAAATTTATTTGCCGAGTTTTATTTTCGTTCACCATTCTCTTTGCTATTCGCGTATTGTTATTCCTAGCGCAATTATACTATCGATTACGTGGAGAAACGACTATGGATTTACTCGAGATTAAAATCATGGAATAGATTATTCCTGGTATAGTTACTCGTGTATAAATTGAAGTTTGGTCGAATCGACCCTTAGTCAAGTAGGTGATCAGCCTTCTATATGACACATGTCGAATTTGGATTTGAGACATGCTCACGATGTTTAAGGTACAGACAGGTATCGATCCTGGCGCTGGTTCTCAGGAATGAAATTCTCACGCTGGATCCCCAAAGCCAACATCACTACATTGTATAAAACAAAGTCGCTTTCTCTGTCCCTATGTATGCTTTAATCTTTAAAACTACGCAACGGATTTTGATGCGTTTTTTTTTAATAGATAGAGTGATTGAAGAGAAAGGTTTATATGTGTAATAAGGTCCATTAAATATGGATGGAGAAATACTGTTATTTTTTCTAATGAATTTACGACATCACATTAGAAAAAGAGGTTTCTAATGTGATGTCGTAAATCGTAAATAATTTCATTTTTGACACATTGACACATTGAAAAGGTCTACAGAAAACTTTTTTTGTCATTTACTTTATACGACAAATGGCTAATTTTCAAAGCGATTTTAACCAATACAGCATTAATCCTTATCCAATTAAATACCTTAAATACATTGTTGATTTAATATAGATCTATATGGCCCTGTAAGCATATGATTAAACAGAATATTTTCGAAGTTATTACAAATTTAAAAATTACGGTTCTCTCTATACTCTATAGCACTTTGAATTTAGTATCAGCATTGCATCCGTGCGAAGCCGGGGCGGGTCGCTAGTCTATAAGGCTATGTTCACATGTAACGCGCGTTAACGCGCGTCAACGCGCGATCAAATTTGAAGAGAGTTCAGATGATGAGCGCTAATGCACCTTGCGAGAGTACTCGTCAGTCTAGTTCGGTGGAACGTAGAAGAGGCTATTATTTTGTGGTTATTTAAAAAAAAAAATATAGAAAAAGAAAACGTACACATTGGGTTCATCCAATTTTGAAAAATAGACCCAGCTTGTTATAAATATAATTACGAAAATTTACAAAATTACATGCGATCGCGATGAAAGCGCGCGCTCATCTGAACAGCAAACGGACATTACATTAATATCAAAGCGCGCGTCAACGCGCGATCACCTGCGTCTAGAGACTTTTTCTCTGAGCGCCGCGTTGACGCGCGTTAACGCGCGTTAACGCGCGTACATGTGAACAGTTGTATGAAAAATACCATAATCTCTAGTCGCGCGATTTGAAAACGCGCGTCAAGTTTTTGCCATCTGAACATAGCCTAATAAAATCATCTAAATAAATAATAACGCATTTATAAATTAACCAGGCTGTGAAGAATTTGTACTAGCAATGTACCTATGCGAGAGGGCTACCCAGGGTGAAGCACCTCCCGCAAAACTACCTCTAGAGATGGTACCTCCAACATTCAGACGTGACTCGATCACGAGCAACACCAGTGCCAAGTCATATGAGGAGAGGAGACGAGAGAATATGGCACGGGGCCAAGCGGAGTTAGAGCGACGCCGCTCGCAGTTGGCCGATGTCCAGATGAAAGAGAAGGTAATTGGCACTTTTGATCAAAATTATAATCTAATTTAGTAACTGAAACAAATGTATTTAAAATTAATTAAACAATATAATATGACATCTGATGTTATGAAAAAAATATTGCTATATTTCCATAAATTGATTTATATTAGATTGATTGTTGCAGTAAAAATATAAAAAATAAGTAAAATTGTAAATAATAAACACGTGTAAATGTTCATTTACCAATAGTAAACACTTGTTTCACTCATAATTCTTACTTACAAGTAAATAAAAAAAAGTGCGTGCGTACAAAGTACACATGTCAGAAGTGAAACTTCTTTGGCAAACTAATTTTTAAGTCTTGTTCATATTTATACAAATCTAAAACTTTAGATTTCCGAGACTTAGTGTGGCCATAGACGGACCGCATGTTGCAGTCGATGCCGACTGCTCTAAGCGGTCGCCGCACGGCGATCTGCAGTTTCCATACTAAATTCATATCCGCATTACACGGACCGCACGCACAGTTTCTGAGCGGTCGGAGCAGTCGCTCTGCGGTCGAGTTTCGCCGTGCGGTCCACTGCTTAGAGCTGCCGGACCCACCATACACGGACCGCTAGAAGCGGTTGCTGCCGACCGCGCGCCTCTCCCTCAAATAAAATAAAATACTAACTAATTCATCAAATGAAACCACGGACATTCTAAAGTAGTTGAAAAACATTTTCGTGTCTTCTCTCAGCTGGGAATACAAAGTATGAAATATTCCATGCTGTTCTCTTGATTGTAGTATTGGACGCACCACATACTACGGTGTTTTCTACGCCTACACTTGCGTAATAGTAGTACAAGTAGCAGTGTTTTTTCATCGAAATCCCTCTTGTAAATGAACTCGCATCAGTATTATTTTGCGGTCGAACACAACTGCTCCAAGCAGTCGTAGCCGACTGCATTATGCGGTCCGTCTATGGCCCGCTTTAGAGGGAGGGAAAAGGGAAGATATGTTAGGATTTTAATGAGTTTAATTGTCATTAAAACATTAAGTGTCGAAAATTAATACAAATAATAAATTTAATTTTTTAATTTATTTCTTCAAGATTTCAATAAATTATTTTGCATAAAATATAAAATACTAATATTTCATAAATAATCTTTACGAAATGTTAATTTTAAAAATATAATTTCTATACGGTAATTCACCCTTCTCACTATCTCAATCGGTATTAATCGCTCTCTCCCTTTAGACAAAAACGCTGCACATCTTCGTGACGTTCCGTAAATTTTTTACCCTTATGCGACTAAAGAAGTTTCACTTCAAAAACACCATAACACATCAATCAAGTGACAGTTGACAACCAAAGGACAGTCTTTATAATTTTAATAATGGGTTCGTCTATTTCTTGCTCTCAGGAAGAGGAGGTGATATTAAATAGTGGTTTTCTAGTAGCTTTCTTCTAGATTTTTATGGAATGTATATACTTAAGTCACGTAGATTCAGAGTAGAGTGGCTAAGTATGAATCTCGTATGTCAAATTGACATTGACAAACGAAACTCATGAGTAGCGCTAATTTCTGAATCTTACCTTAGCTAGTAGATGCACAAATTAGATTTTTCATGCACTTTTCTAATGTGTGTGAGATTTTAGATTTAATACTGCATTTCAAAACTAAACCGCTAGAAATATTGCAGGTTATACAATTTCTGAATACCGTCTAAACAAAATAAAATAGTAACGACTTATGAAGAATTTGAGTAGCTCCCTGTGTATTTGTAACTTTAGTTCGAACACGGTAGCACGAACAAAATGAAAGTATTATTGTCGAGTATATACGGTTGAGCTGTATATAACAATACTATTCAAAAAGGTTTGGTTTGGTAATAAGTATAATGAAATAATAAAAAACCGCTTTCGCCCATACCTTGCTCCCCGTTTTCAATTTACATAAAACATATTACCTTATACATACATCTAAACATTCCCCAAGAATCACACCATCTATTGGTAAACCGTAGAAAAATTCATACAGATAGACGAGGTAGTATTGTATATGTATTTGGATAACGCATATAATTCTCATAAGTTGTATATAATATAGGCGGAAAGAGAAAGAAAAGAAAGAGAGGAGGCCGAGAAGAAAGAGAAGTTGCGTCAAGAAGCTCTAAAGAAGGAACAAGAGGAATTGCTGCGTAAACAGAAAGAAGAACAGGTACGTAATAAGCATATGAGGAACAAAAATATCTAAATATAAATCAAATATTTTTCAATATCTCAAATTAGAAGACTTTCTTTTGTGTTAATATGTTTTTGTCGCCTTTCAGGAAAAACGTGAAGCTGCTCGCAAGGAGATGGAAAGACAGTGTCAACTTGAGTGGGAGAAGAAGAGGTTAGTTATATTAAAATTTTTAATATTGTGGTGGCAGGTATTGTTTCTCCAGTCCAAAGGGAGGATCCTCGGCCAGTCTTACCACTGACTGGGCCCGAAAGCCCAAATGGCTAAGGTCGAGAAATCGTATCGTATCTATATCGTATCTTTAGCAGTCAGAATAACTTCGCTATAGCCGTAGATTGTATGTCGCTATAGTTTGTTTAATTGATTAATAAAAATATCTGCTTCAAATAGGAATTTGAATTTTCTACATTTAATGGTCTTATCGGTAAAAACACACTAAAAATATATTCTAGAACTCGTGAATTGGAAACTCTTCGTACGGAGGAGCAGAGTAAAGTTCTAAGCTTAAAAGCACGCAGCCAAGCTTTATCCGCTGAACTTAATTCCGTGAACTTAAAAGCTGGAAACTTGGCAAAGGATATACGAGAGACGAGAACTGCGGTGGCAACTGCCAAATGCACTATTGATTCGATGAGGTGAGTCATGTCTATCTGTTTACCAATTGTTACTGCTTATTTTAGTTGTGTTTTCTACTCTTTTATAGAATTTTTTTAATCTGTGAAGCAATTATAGACAACAAATTTTTCACAGATTACAAAAAAACATATTTTTCCAAAAAAGAGGTTGTGTTGTGTCTGTTATGTTTCCTTTGGAATAAATAAATCTGTCATCGTGTAATTTATAATTTGGTTGGTAACTATATTTTATTAGTACTAATCGTAATTTTAGGGTTCTTGGATTTTTTAATTAAATTTAATTAACCCAGATCTCTGGTAGCTACCACAACGACAATTTTGTACGTAACAACAGAAATCTTGGAGGCTTTTTTGTGCTTGGGGTAGAGTAGAGAAGTGAAGGACCATGGGGCCTTTTATTTTATACTTTGTTGTGTCAATAAATATTTTTGGTTGACACAGGTCGGACCGAGACGCAAATATGTCAGAGATGCAACAACTAAAGACGAGAGTCAAAGAGCTGAACGCAAAGCAGATATCTCTTAACAAGGAAAAGGCAGATATTGATGCCAAGGTATAATCAAGTCTTTATGTATTATTTTTTTACAGAACGATAAATATAAGATTTTTTTAATAAAACTGTAAGAAAAAGTAGCAACAAATATTCAGTTAAAATAATATACCGGGTATAAAGTGACCGCCACCGAAAAAAAGTAATTTAAGAACTTTTATGATTCTAAAAGGTACCTATACTTAAAAATATTACGTTTTTTGGAAACATTTTTGCTTCAAAACTTTATAAGCTACGTACGATACTTTTACGTGATAACGTCATAAGAAAATATTGATAAAAATTTCATACTTTTATGAATTAAATTATTATCACTAAATATAAATTTTGTATCATATTGATTGAAAATAAAAAAAAATTAAATTAACATATATTTCCACTCGTTAATTCAAATGAATTAATAATCAAAGAACAAATATATGAGACTATACCTCTAATCAAATTTTTAAAATGCATTTAGAATTAATTACCTATTTGCTGCAAGTCAGTCTCGTCTTGACTGTCAAATATGTCAAAATTTATATCCAAAAATAGTATGACAGCTGTGGCAATTTTGGATTGATATTCGGGCATTCGTTAAGGTGAATAAGGTCTTGAGAATTTGTACCTCGTGTTTGTTTCAGGCAAAGGCATCAGAGGGCGCTGGTGATGATGGTAAACTCAGCATGATGGAGGTCACTCTGAAACAACTCAGAGATAAGGTTTGTATTATATTGGAATAAATACAGCGAAGCGTAATTATCTTTATATAATCTCATTCGGTAATATTCTAATTATGAAATGAAATACAGACTTTTATTGGCATATTTTAAATACATACTTCTTTAAGGAAATTAAAAAATTAAATAAAGCATTATTCTCCTAACAAAACAATGCAAAATAATTTTTTAATTATTAAAGTACAATGTGCCCCGACCAAGGAGGTTTCAATTCAATTTAAGTACACATTATCTGTGGTGAGCGCAACGCGCTGGTTCCGAGCCAATAGACCAATAACAGATTTTTCCATTTTGGCGCTATTTCGTACATACGAATTTCAGTTATATTTTGTGGGATAAAACTTTATTAGCAAAATGTCAATCAACACCGACGATACCGATGAAAACTGACATTCTAGAAACAGCTACGAAACTGACGAATAGTCTTTTGCCAGAAAAATCAAGAAAAGCGTACGACAAATGTTACCAAGACTTTATAACTTGGAAACCTATAGCCATGAGATTAAATAAAGTAGTGTAAGCAACTGCATATAATTAGGTATTAAAACACTCGTGTAATCTTATTTTGAAACGAGCCGCAAAAATATCGCAATAGCTATTTGAGACATACATGTTTTTATTCATAAAATAATTAGGAATTATTGTATATCAAAGTTATGTAAGATTCTCACCAATTTAATTCTATTCTTCACAACCGATTTGAATTTCCTTAAAAATAAACCGTTTGGTATTTTCAGGTGGAAGCAGCCAAAGCCATAGTGGATTCCAAGCGGTCTGACCTGGACACGAATCAGAAACAGTTGGAGGAAGTCAACGCAAGGGTTGAGGAGCTGATAGAGAAGTGTGGTGCTGTTTGGCAACTCTATGAGGAGAAGAGGCAGAAGTATGAAACTGAAAGAAGTACTGCGCCCGCTGATAGCGCCGGTAAAAGAGAGATTTATAAATGCAATTATAGACTAAAGAAAGAAAAAAAAAAAAAAAGTACTTTTAAAAGCTTTACTTAAAAGTTAAGTGCTTACATTGTTTGGTCCTTCGAGCCGGATAACATAAAATCAATTTCGATAATAAATTTATTCATTTAATATAAATTGAATATTTAGATGCATGGGGTGCTTCTGAGGACGCGTGGGCCTCTGCCCCCACTACAGCTGACTGGGGCGACGCACCACCTACTTCAGGTAAGTTTTATTTTATATATAAAAGCCAAACAAATAGTAAATATGAATATAGACATTGAGTAAAATTATCAATATGTTTTGCACTTCTTACGGTCATCTTATTTTTCATAAAAGAAGTAAGAGATTGCTCTCAAATAAAAATGCTGCCATTGCCTTTTTAGTATTATAATTTGTACAGATTTTTTATAACGAGTGATAAATAAGTATTAGATTGAAACTGCCTTTGGTCGACTACAACCTTTGTCGCCATTTGCATACAATAACAAAATACAGTCGACCAATCTCAACAGAGAAAATAAAAAGAAATCAACGTTTCTTTCAACCAGTCTTCTACACTACTACAAAATAAATAAAATTTTATGAATCATTATTATTATTTTTTTCATATTTTTATTATTCTTCTTTTTAACCACAAGAAAATTGAAAATTTTCGAAAATCGAGTTTTTAACAGATGTTGACGTTTTGAGGTTCTAGGAAGCCTCCCCGAATGTTTCCGTGGTGAAGTCCGTATGTATAAATTTTCATAAAAGTAAAACAGCAATAAAAAAATGAAGGAACGTTGGAATTTAAAAAAATAAATAGCCATAAACCATCAAAATTTCGCATCGAATGGCAGTAGTTTCATTCAGTAGTCGATACGATCAGTGGTTTAGGCGTGAAGGAGCCTCAAAAGAAGACCATTTTTCTTATATGTATATTATATATATATATATTAAGCATTTTTCCACAATTATTTTTGTATTGCTTTCTTTAATTAGAATCCTTGAAGAGATGTCTCTGTAGCGGTAAGTTTTGCATCGTGTAATGTTTTGTTTTTGTAATAAAGACTAAATAAATGTTTAGGTATCGAGTCTGTGCCGTCATCGGCGAGTGCAAGATGGCGGTGCGTGTACGAATTTTCGGCAAGAACTGTGGACGAACTCAGTTTGCAGCCTGGTGATCTGGTGAGTTTGCTCTCTATCTCTTATTTCTTACTCTTCTCAATCGTCATTCTTCTCTTCATTTGGCACTTTCCATAGGCTCGAAAAAAAATTTAAAAACTCTGGTTTTTTAAAAATACAACGGTCAGACTACTACTATAAAGAAGAAAGAGTAGTGTTATGTTTGTAAAGAATACCCTCAAAATGCAGTAAATTAATTTTCATGACTTGGACTGGAACCTTTTCAACAACTGGATACACCTGATTAAAATTAAAGGATCATCACAACTTTTAGTTTCTGATAAATTTGTGGACAAGCATATATTTTCAAAATTTAGCTCTACCCTTAAAATACTATATTATCCGGTATCCCTAAGTAATATTGGCTTTATTTATCTACAAAATATTTTTTAAAAAAAATGTCCAGTCCAGAGTGAATATTAAAGTAAATTTTATCGGATGTAATCGCAAATTGATGGCTGAAAAGCACTCGAATCGTCGAGATATTTAAGTAATGCAATAAATTATATTTTAGTAGTATTCGCCTTGACCATATAAAACATATATACTTGGTCGCCACGTTTGCACGATAATTTCGTAACGACGTACGACGATAAACTCGTACGTAGATTGTTCGATATTTTTTTAATGGCTATATAAAATTGGTCGCTATCCAGGTGGATACGATAATTTTAATGCCTGCCTGAATGTTTAAGCTTAGCTTAGATAACGGCACCGCTTTTCTAGGAAACCTAAGCTTTACTGTTTTTAAATTGATATAATTTTTTAGTAATATTGACACTAAAAATAATGTATTGGCAGGTGTTCGAAGCTGACGCTCCAAGAGGTGATGCTGAGCCCGGGTGGCGATGGGGTGCCGCTAGAGGTACAAATTATCCATTTAGGCATAGAGCACAGAATACTAAGTCTATTTCGTTTTCAACCTTCTGTGGCTTGTTTTTAAGCACACTTACATTGGCGGAGAGTTTATTGTCAGTTCCTTTCGTCCGTTCTAATCCAATCCAGGCGTCGGGTTGTCTCTCCCTAAAATATGGCGGGGGGGCCGATGGCTGGCCATGCGTCATGCTCGTTAACGGGTGCTGCTTGTGATGACTGGTCGTACTTGTATTCGTGCATGCGGTGATGTTAGTTGTTTCGACTATGTGTTTGCGTGTTGTTCCCACGAAAAGTGCGTGCTCCTATTTCACCATGCCTCCTGCTGATAGAGGACAACTCTTTGTTTTTAATTTATTTTATTATTATTTATTACTTAAGATGTCGTGTGGAATATGGTGTAATGGTTGCAGCTCCTTACAAACGTGGTGTAAAACAAAAAAAACTTGGCGATTAGAAAAGTGGCGGAGAGTTTATTGTCAGTTCCTTTCGTCCGTTCTAAGCCCTTGATTTGAGAACTGGCAGTAAATGTAAAATTAGAAGCATTTAATGTATATTTCTTTTTTGACGTTCATAATTGTACATTGTGTTACCTACATGAATAAATGATTTTGACTTTGACCATTATAAAGGCTGTTTTAGGACTAAAGTTTCCAAATTGTTTTATTAAATACTACTTTTAACATTTTTAACTGGCTAAAGTTTTCTGTTTAGTAACTTTTAACCCTACTATTGTGTCAGTTTATATTTACTTTGCATTCAATTTCTGAGAAGTAATTAAACAGAACACATATTTGTTTTTGTAATATTTTAAATTAATTGTAATACAGGTCAAACGGGCTGGTTCCCGGAATCATACGTCGAAGACTTGACTGCGGTGCCCTCTTACGACCAAATGGAGCCTTTGGAGACTAAAACGCAACTTGAAGGTACTTTAAATCGAGTAACTCTATAGAAATATATGTTTTGGACTTACTAAATAAGTAAATATTATGACATAAGATATATGTCTCCATAAGTTAGTAGTCGATTTGTTATTTATTATATAGTTAAATAGTATAATATATATATACGCGGATAGCGGAATATATATTTAAACACAATTAAACAATATTATATAAATTTATATTTTTTTACCATTTAACACGTACGTCTATACATTATAAAATTCTATTAATTATTAACAAACATACCAGAAGAAATTTTTTATTTGTTTTTTTAAGTATCTTTGTTCTAGACATATATGTATATAGAGAAATATATGTTGATAATTTGTGTAATAATTTTAATTTGACTGAGGAATTCAAACCGATACCAACCAAGTATGAAGAAGTCACAGCAGTCAATTGAACCATTGCAAGTGTGTAAATGAGGTTTTGTAGTTGATTCTATATTGAATATTAAAAAATCTATTGTAAAAATATGATTTTATATTTTATTATTTATATTATTTTGTAAGAGGTCACAGATCTGTTTTCGAACTCACACAGCGGTTTTCGCATCGGCGGTCGCTCTGAAATCAGTCGTGAAGCAGTCATTTTATGATTTGGCATTCTGATAAACAATAAACTACAAGCTCCCATCTTTTCAGAATGCCAAATCATAAAATGACTGCTTCACGACTGATTTGAGAGCGACCGCCGATGCGAAAACCGCTGTGTGAGTTGGAAAAGTGAGTTACAGAATCGCAGGGCTGATTACTGAAAAAAGATTGTTATTGCATTCATAGTTATTACTATTTATTTATTTAGAAATACCTTACAGCTTACTTAACTATAATACAAAATAGTTTTTAAATCGAAACGCCAAGTTTGGTTTACAGATTTAACAATAATATGAGAGAGAGATTGTGTATTTGTGTATGTGTAACTGAAACCTGTGCGTTAACATCAGCGTGAATAGTGATATTTAATGTCTAATAGTATTTAAAATCTCGAAATGTCAAGTGGTTCATGTAGCCGATAGCTATAAATTAAAATCGCAAAAATATGGGTACACGATTTTCTCATTTTTTTCTGAACCAGAATTGTTGTACAAGTCAATAATGAATCATTGTTATTGATAATAAATAATAATCCAATGGCTCTATAAATACTATGGGTTTTGGCCTCAAATTCAATCCATTTTTGTATCATTTTTATTTATAAACAGTTGATCAGCCTTGTGTCTGACACATGATACATTTGATAGCCAGAATTCTCACGATGCTGGTCTTCACCGTATGAGCAGCTGCTAATTGCGCACATACAACGAAAATTCCTTATATATTCGTAAATGTTATATTTTTAAATTGAGTGGATTTATAAAAGACATATATTTCTCTTTATGATAAGATTGTAAATTAAATAGGTATAGCAGAAGTTCCGGAACCGGAGATATCCACTGACTTGGGAGGAGCCATGCCACCTGTTGGTAAGTATATTTTTTATTTTGTTTATAAATACGACTTTACTTTTTACTTCTTTTATTATAGTTAAAATAATTAACTTTATTCGATTAAATCATATTACAAACTCGACTATTATTTTGTAAGTTGTAACTTAATCTACTGTACGAAAATAAACCCAACGCACGGAATGAAACACCTCACAATTGTTAGAATACATTATTAAGTAATTATTATCTCAAAGATTCGTAATTTAATCAATACTTTGAAATCTTCTTCAGAAAAAACTTCATCAAAAATACCATATCATAAACGGGATGGTATTGTTTTCCTACCGCGTTTTACAGAGGTACACTGCCATCTATTGATAATGAAATAATAAAAATGAAGTAATCAATTTAGATATGCCCCAAAAAGTAATAATTGTATTGTATTAAATAATAATAATATTTATTTCTTTGTACTGAAATTTATTTAATTATTATCACTTATATTTTTAGAAGGTGGTGATTTCTACATAGCAGCCTATCCCTACGCATCTGGGGAACCAGGAGACCTAATATTTGAATCAGGAGAAAGAATAGAAGTAATAAGAAGAGATGGAGATTGGTGGACTGGCAGGATTGGGATACGGTGAGGTTTTATGTTATGTCTTAGTTGCATGACCGATAATGCAAAACAGTGGCGGTACAACCTTTTAGGTCTGGGCCTCAGATTTTTGTATTTCGTGATCATTTCAGGCGTCGGGACGTGACGACCCCATCGCCCACTGGTGAAATAACCTGTGACAGAGGTTATTTCATCAGCGCAATCAGTCAACCCCTTCCTAGTGGGAGTGCCATGCTGTTGCCTTCGGGCTTCAGCCAAATGGGCAGGCACGACCGGGGCAGTACCACTGTCTCTCAGAAAACCGGCGTGAAGTGATGCAAAAGGTTCGCCTTCTTGTACTCGCGTTTCGTGCGGTGAGAGAGATTCCCGGAGCCCATCCCCCCCACACAAGAAATATGAAGGTGCAGAAAAAACAGAATCTACCCCAGGGGGGTACCACACGCGCTCGCGGTGGAGAATCCCCCTCTGGGCGTCCACCACCGGGACACTCAGCACCCGGTGGTGGACGCACAGGCTGCCCTTCGTATTCTGGGGGGCAATTCTGCGCTCTACAAAAATAGTAATCGTCCTCGGGGCAAACGGAGCAATTATACAAAGGCACCCCCGTCCACACTCGCCGTGGACTTCACAAATGTTAGGGGGCTTAATTCTAACATCAACGCTGTCCACTATCATCTAGAGACTGCGAAGCCGGCCTTGCTCTTTCTTACCGAGACTCAGATATCCTCCCCGGCTGATACTTCCCACCTATCCTACCCGGGGTACAAATTGGAACATTCATTTGTGCCGCGGGCTGGAGTTTGCGTGTACGTCAGAGAGGATATCTGTTCTCGTCGCCTCGGGACGCTTGAAGGAAGGGACCTATCTAACCTCTGGCTGCGCGTAGACTGCGATGACCATCCGCGATTCTACGCATGCCTGTATAGGTCCCATAGCGGAAATACCGAAACTGACCGACTCATTGAGCACATCCAAATGGCTACAGATTCCCTGCTCGAAAGGGTTCCTACCGCTGAAATCGTGATACTTGGCGATTTTAACGCCCACCATGCCGATTGGCTCGGCTCTGAAACCACCGATCACGCGGGAAGATCCTTTCACGACTTTGCTTTAGCCTACGACCTGACACAAATGGTCCCTGCGATTACGCGAATACCAGATGTGGATGGTCATAAACCCTCTTTGTTGGACCTTCTGCTGACTTCTCATCCGGAGAACTATCAAGTCTCTGTTGACCCGCCATTGGGTTCATCAGATCATTGTGTGGTCCGGAGTACTGTGCCATCTACGCGCCCTTCACGGCCCCGCTTTATGGGTTGTCGCCGTATTTGGCACTATAAGTCAGCAGATTGGGACGGGATGCGGTCTTTCTTTGCGTCCTACCCTTGGGGGCCTATGTGCTTTTCGCCGGAAGCTCCAGATTCCGTCGCCGCCTCTGTCGCCGAAGTGGTTCTGCAGGGCATGGAACTCTTTATTCCATTTTCTGCGGTGCCGATCGGTGGCAAGTCTCAGCCCTGGTTTAAACGTTCTTGCAAGGCGGCCTCGCGTCGAAAGCGAGAATGCTTTAAGGCATGGGCGGAAGCGGCGAAATCTCGTGATGCCAATACCAGCGAACTTAAAAAAGCATATAACTCAGCCTCCAGGTCCTTCAAACGGGAAATCACTAAGGCAAAGTCAGAGCACATTGCCAGATTTGGCGAGAGATTGGCCCAACTCCCATCAGGGACTCGAGCCTTCTGGTCTCTCGCCAAAGCTGTCCAAGGGAATTTTTGTCAGCCCGCCATTCCGCCACTGCACAGGGAGGATGACTCTCTGGCCCACACTGCGAAGGAGAAGGCTGACCTTTTGGGCTGTCTCTTCGCGTCTAACTCGACTTTGGATGACCGAGGGAGATCACCACCGACCATTTCGCGGTGTGATTCTTCGATGCCGGAAATCACATTCCGGCAACGTGCTGTCCGCAAAGCACTATCTTCCTTGGACATTCATAAGTCGAGCGGGCCGGATGGTATCCCCCCCAATTGTGCTGCGTACTTGTGCTCCTGAGTTGGCTCCGGTCTTAACGCGCCTTTTCCGGTACCTGTACTCGCTCGGCACTGTCCCGAAGTGCTGGAAGACCGCTTTGATACATCCGATCCCTAAAAAAGGCGATCGCTCTGATCCGTCCAACTATCGCCCAATAGCTATAACCTCCTTGTTCTCCAAAATAATGGAAACCATTATTAACAGCCAGCTCTTGAGGTATCTAGAGGGCCACCAGCTGATTAGCGATTCTCAGTACGGCTTCCGTCGTGGTCGCTCGGCTGGTGACCTCCTTGTATACCTTACACATAGATGGGCAGAGGCAATTGAGTCCAAGGGGAGGCGCTAGCGGTTAGTTTGGACATAGCGAAAGCCTTCGATCGGGTGTGGCACAGAGCACTGCTCTCGAAGCTTCCAGCCTATGGGCTTCCCGAGAAATTACGCAATTGGATCTCCAGCTTTCTGGCCGATCGGAGCATCAAGGTCGTCATCGACGGAGCATGTTCCGACCTAAAACCCGTAAACGCTGGGGTCCCACAAGGCTGTGTTCTATCCCCGACCCTATTTCTTCTGCATATCAATGATATGTTGAAACTTAGCAACATTCATTGCTATGCGGATGACAGTACTGGGGATACTTTTTACACTGGCCGGGCAGGTATTTCTCGGGCAGTTGTTGATGAGTACCGGAACAAACTTGTGTCTGAAGTTGAAACTCTACTTCGTGGAGTCTCAGATTGGGGCAGACAAAACCTAGTCCAATTTAACCCCAAGAAGACACAAGTTTGCGCGTTTTCCGCTAAAAAAACACCCTTTGTCGCTACTCCTCTTTTCGAAAACACTCTTCTTAAAGCCACAGCCAGCATTGGAATACTTGGCGTTGACATATCGAGCGACGTTCAGTTTCGCGGTCACTTGGAGGGAAAGGCTAAATTAGCCTCCAAAAAGCTTGGTGTGCTCAGCAAGGCGAGACGGTACTTCACTCCGGGCCACCGCATGCAACTATATAAAGCGCAAATTCGGCCCCACATGGAGTACTGCTCTCACCTCTGGGCGGGGGCTCCCCAGTACCAGCTCCTTCCACTTGACCGTATACAACGCAGAGCGGTTCGAATCGTTGACGACCAATCCCTCTCCGAGCGGCTTGATCCTTTGGCGTTGCGTAGAGATGTGGGGTCACTCTGCATCTTCTACCGCATTTACCATGGAGAGTGTTCAGAGGAGGTTTTCGGATTAATACCTGCAGCTGAGTTTCATCATCGGACGTCGAGGCAGAATACGAAATTCCACCCGTATCACCTCGACGTCCGACGTTCCACAACTGAGCGTTTCTCAAGGCAGTTTTTGCCGCGCACCACCACTATGTGGAACCAGCTGCCCACTGAAGTATTCCCGAACCAATTCGACTTAGGGTCCTTCAAGAAAAGAGCGTACCAATTTTTAAAAGGCCGGCAACGCACTCGCGAGCCCTCTGGCATTGAGAGTGTCCATGGGCGGCGGTATCACTTAACATCAGGTGAGCCTCCTGCCCGTTTGCCCCCGTTCTATAAAAAAAAAAAAAAAAAAAAATTATTTCTAAAACTCAAATAGGTGATGTCGACTTATTGGGTCTAATGCATTTCGGTTTCCTCGCGATGTTTTCCTTCACCGCTCACTCGCTCGTACGAGTAGGCAACTTAGATACGAATACTACGATATGAAACAACTATACATTTATAGGTGTATTTCATACCAGAAAATTAATTACAACAAATTTTTTGTACTCACAAAAAAAGTGTTATGCCACTTTGAAATTTGAACTATGCGCCATCTTTTTAAGGCACTTATCAACATTGTACAGTCATAACGACATTGAAGGGACCGTATAGTTGCCGACGTTATATCCGATAGTCGTTATAAGCAATGTCATATACACAAGTACAGTACATATGTATGTACATAGTTATCTATCTAGAATAGGTAGGTATTGGTTATAATGTGGCATGTTAATATTATAATATGTATAGGAGTCAAAAAAGAAAAAAAAAATATTTATTACGAAATAATTAGATACACAAAGGAATCAGTCATTTTGGTCTGTTTTTTTTAGCCCAGTCTCAAATATTTTTTGCATTTTATCCATAAGGTATGACATGAGATTTTTATTCAATAGAAAACACTTTTCTCTTTTTTTGCGACATGATAACACATAAATGCACAATTGCACAGTCTAAACAACACCAACACTTTTAAATCAAACTGTTACTCACGCAGTCAATTAGCGAACTAAACATGTGTAAAATATGCAAGGTCATATGGCCGGGAAGAGGTTCGGATGAGGCGGGAGAAAGTGCGTAGGTAATAATATGCCTAATATTCATTCAATGCTTATAAATAAGATTTAAAATCGTTTGTATTGTTTTGTTTTGCTGAGACAAGAAGCGGTTCGTCGTTATAGCCGATGAATATCGATAAAATTACGTCGTTGTAAGCGATATGTCGCTGTATCCGATGTTGTTATAAGCGGTTTGTTTACTGAATAGTTTACTAGGGATTCGGACGGGACCATACAATCTGGTTGTAATAACCGATAGGTCGTTGTAAACGATGTCGTTATAAACGGTTTTGACTGTATATTAATTTTGTTTTTGTACGATTCATTTACTTTTTAAAACGACAATAATTTTACAAATACTGCCCTAATATAGACTGTATACCTTCTTTAGATTCCTTTAGAATCCTACTCGAATCACGAATCTTAAGGCGTATGTTTTATTTAATTATTTAAATAAAATAAATATTAGGTTAATACTAAAATACAAATCTCTAAACGATTTTATTGCCGTAATGTTAATATGTGTATATTAATAAAAAAATCTTTCTTCCAGTACCGGTATATTCCCATCGAATTACGTAACCAAAGATACAACAACTGGAGATGCGATGTCGAGTATACCGGAAGCGAGGGAACCGGAACCGGAGCCGCAACCAGAACCCAAACCGGAACCGGAACCAGTGATAGAACCCGTTGTTGAACAGGTATTGTCCGGTTTTTCGAATCGTCCTATTTAGAAAATTTTTGATTATGGAAATTGTGAAATTTATATGTTTATAATAAATGATTTATGTACATTTTTTTTTTGTTTTGTTTTCACAGCTTTTGATAAAAATCTTTTGTTTGGTAGCATTTTTGCCATTTGAAGCATTTTTTTAACAATTTATTGCACATATTAAAGTAATAGATATGTTGACTACAAAAGTAACCTTTCCTTGTTGAGTTAATAGAGAATTTAAAATTAATACAGAAATGCAAAAATGGTAAATCTCAAAATTATATGATACCAAACAGAAGATGTCATTTCATATGTTATGTTTTTTTCATTCATTTATTCATTCAAAGAAAATTAGTAATTTAATTGATATAAGTCCATATAAATAATTTGTATTTTGACTGAAAAAACTATGTTTTTTTTATATTGTGGATTTGTACCATTGCCAGTATAGTCTCACTGTAGAATATGATAAAAAAAAATAAGTTATTTAAGTTCATGTTTGCATTGATTATAATAAAGTTTGTTGTTACGTAAAATACAGTTAGACTTAATAGGAACAAAATTATTGAAAGAGATGTGATCTGATATTACGAGCTATGAAACACTCTTTTTGTTAATAAAAAAAAGTGCGTGCGTACATAGTACACATGTCAGAAGTGAAACTTCTTTGGCAAACTAATTGTTAAGTCTTGTTCATATTTATACAAATCTAAAACTTTAGATTTCCGAGACTTAGAGGGAGGAATGTGATGAATATAATTGTCATTAAAATATTAAAAGTGTCGAAAATTAATACAAATTATAAATTTAATTTATTTCTACGATAATAAAAACACGTGGCATTTTAATTTACAATTCGTCATTTGAGATTTCAATAAATTATTTTGCATATTAATTTCAGAAATTTTCTTAACGAAATTTTAATTTTAAAAATAAAATTTCTATAAGGTGATTCACCCTTCTCACTCTCTCTCTCAATCGGTCTCAATTTCTCCCTCCCTTTTCTTCGACAAAAACGCTGCACATCTTCGTGACGTTCCGTAAAACCCTCATGCTCCTAAAGAAGTTTCACTTCAATAAATATAGATAGATTACATATATAAAACAGCTAGCATACAACAGGACTAGCATTGTCATTGTCCAATCTCTAAAAGTGGTTCTTTGATTTAAGATTGCGTTTTGTTACAATTACGACCGGTTTTATATTTTAATATGAGAGGAACGCAGCTTAGTTTCATCATCGGACGTCGGGGCAGAATTCGAAATTCCACCTCGCCGTCCGTTGTTCCACAACTGAGGGTTTTAAGGCAGTTTCTGCCGCGTACCAGAACCAGCTGCCCACTGAAGTATTTCCGAATTAATTTGAATTCCTTAAGGAAAGATCGTAGCAATTTTTAAAGGCCGCATAACGCACTTGTTGGCCTCCTCGCAGTGTTAGTGTCCATGGGCGGCGATATTACTTAACATCAGGTAAGGCTCGCTTGCCCCTTGTTCTATAAAAATAATATGGGGGTTGTTAAATATTTAGTCATATTGTTCAAAATAACGATATGAAAATATGAATTTAAAATCTAAACAAAAAAAAACACTTTAAACTCATTATTGAAATATGTATCGCTCTTGGAAGTTACAGAGTAACGAATCCGGATTAGTTTCTTATAAGCAAGAAGGTAGATGATCCGGTTTCCTCACGATATTTGTCTTTACCGTACGAGTAATACGATCATAGAGAAATAAAAATCTATATATGCACAGCCGTGACTTGAACTTTGTGACAATTGTTGACAATAATTTGTGTCTAACAGGAGCAAAAATCGTCGACTCCAATATGTTCGGAAGTGGCGAACATAACCGAGGCAAGTGCGGCGGCTGGTGGTCCCAGGCCCGCCTCAGCCGCTAGACGCACTTCCGAGTCCGGGCGGGACTCAGTCACCGGAAGACGGACGAAGGAGGTCGCACAGGCTCTGGCTAATTATACTGCTACTAGGTAAGTTTTTAACCGACGCAATAAAGGAGGAATTTTGATCTGTATGTTTGTATTTGAGTGTGATAATCAATTTAGGCTTGTGCTATATTTCGAAAGTGTACAAATTTCTCAGAAACTCAAAGTCATATCGGGGTTATCAAATTAGTATTATACTCTGATTTTTAATTCCGTAGAATTCTGATAGCTATCATTTTTTGACATGTCAGAGATGGCAAACCTTTTTGAGTCTATACATACATTTTATTGTTTGTTAATGTATCCATTTTATTAAGTGTGCTGCTTCATTAAAAGTGGTTTAGCGGCGAGTGGTAATTACGTTCCTTTTCATCACAAACAGTAAAAAACGCACAAGTAAAGATAACATTGTTTTTAAAGGTTTACTAAACCTAGAATTAGTAGCCATTGATGCCAGCTAAAGAATAAAATAAAGTAATTAAAGTTTATTAATTACTTTGTTTATAACCGATATATTGTTCGTGATATTGAAATATTTGTTATTTTTGTATTAGGTCACTTGAATAAGTAAATATTTAGATTTGCCTTTTTGTAGGTAAAACATAAAAAATACGTAGCTTTTTTTTATTGCCCTCAAATAAGTCAAATTTGTCCCTTTTTCGGTGGAGAACTGTTTAGCAGAATTCTACGGAATTAAAAATCAGAGTATAGATATATTATAAAATATTTAAGGAACAGTTTAAGTTTCATCTAAATTGGTTTCGAATTTTTTATAATAGGTAAATAATGGTATTTAAAATAAGTTTTAAATTACTTTTATTTATATAATAAGCTATACAGAAGTTTCAAGTAAACTTAAAAAACTTTAACAACTTGATTACAACATTTACTTAGCTGTTACATCGACAGTTTTTCTTACTAAGTTTCATGGCAACCACGAAAAACTTAAATAAGAATTATTATTTTAATTTTATCCATTCAATAATTGTTATAGGATTTGATAAAAAGGTATAAATGTATCTCTTACCTAGCTATAATTTAGTAAAATAGTAACTACAATGAATATATTCAAGATGACAAAGATAGATAACTTTTAACCAATTGAACGCGAATTAATTCGCTCGCTCGAATTATGTATTCGAATTTTTCCTTAAAAATGTAGATTATATAATTGAATCTGTGATTACTTGCGAGCAAAAAATGAACATTTTTTTCAGTACCGAACAACTTTCCCTGACGAAGGGTCAACTACTGATAGTACGCAAAAAAGCAGATAGTGGCTGGTGGGAGGGAGAATTGCAGGCCAAAGGACGTAACCGACAGAGTGGATGGTTCCCTGCTAGTTATGTCAAGGTGAGGAGATTATACTATACTCCGTAAAAGCGTTAAGGGTTGATGGGGTAACGGAAAATGGGCCAAAAGTTTTGTTATTACGAATTTCGATATCAAAACGGCATTTCAATAGGTTAATCGAGGTAAAATTTTGTGTTAATGTTGTCTCAAAAATAAAACTACAATTTCGGAGTTGGTGTAGTGTAAGTGTGGACTAATAAATTCAAATTTTCATATGTATTTATCATAAATTTATTCTTTGTTTTTTAATTATTTGACGTAAATATAATGAGAGCCTTTGTAGCTCAATTCCAAGGCTCTTTTAACGGTGAAATAACAATGAGACGGCCTCATACATCTGCGTCTTGTCCCATTGGGCTCCCCAACTTGTCTATTTTATTGAAGCGATTAAAAACCTGTACCATCTATTAACTTTCATATTAAAAACATGAATTAATAAGTTTTTAAAAATCTTTTTCAGGTGTTACAGTCAAGCGGTCGTACGTCAGGACGCACAACGCCCGTTTCGTCAAAGATGGACGCGTTACCCTCTGAGACTGTCATTGATAAGGTATGCCCCAGTTGGATAAATATTTTTGGGAATTTTAGAAAGTTATTATATGATATGAAAATTTAATTCTATTCGAAAAAAATCAGTAGGAGAAAAAAAAATTGTCAAGTTGTTATTATACAGGGTGGTCAAAAAGTCGTGGATCAAACGCAAATAGGGGATAGATGAGGTCATAAGCTGCAAAAAATTGTTCTACGGGAGGTCTCTAAGCTCAACTCCTGCAGAGTTATAATTTATTTTGCGTTAGAAAAATTAAACAATCTATTGTTGTTGATAATTTAGGTGATGGCGTTATACCCATATACAGCACAAAACGCGGACGAACTGAGCTTCGAGAAAGACGACATCATAGCTGTCACCGACCGCAGTCAGGATCCCGCTTGGTGGCAAGGTATATTTATTTATTAGATACTGCGTTGCAAAAAAAAGTGCGTGCGTACAAAGTACACATGTCAGAAGTGAAACTTCTTTGTAAATTAATTATTACTAATGTAAAAGCCCCAATAGATGATCATGTACCAGTATATGATCACTCTATCTATTTGTATATCTATATTCACACTGTTTACACTCTGTATACGTGCTAATGATAATATAAATAAATAAAAATTCTGCGTTTAGTGCACAAGACGTTATGCGACAGAATTGCCATCTAAAGCTCTAATATGTAACTACTAAACGAAGACATCAACCAAAAGCGTGTATTTTTTCTCGATCTCCCTTACTTTCTCTCTCAATCTTTCTCACTATAGCTCTCTCCCACCTCTCGCTCCATGGCACTGTGCGTAATGCGACGTTGCTTGCTCCCAACTCTCGCTCCATCGGTCTCAATCGCTCTCTCCCTTTTCTTCAACAAAAACGCTGCACCACTTCGTGACGCTTATATTATTATTATTGCGTGTCATCCATAAAAATTTTACCCTCATGCGCCTAAAGAATTCACTTCAATAAATGCATTTAGAATAATTATATAAAAACGAGTAAATAATCTACTATATTTCTTCCTGGAAATCTTTTAAGGAACCATTAATTTAAATAAGAGCAAAACTACGTGATATACAAACTTGAAATTTAAAAAAAAGTTTAACATGTCTTGCTGGGTGAAGCTGTCACTCCAAGATTGTCACAGAAATGGCTGTGTCAATTCACCTTGATATGAATAATACTATGTGTTTGCGTGTTCCTGTTTCACCGCGCCTTGCTGATAGAGGTGAAACGTTTGGTCTTTGTTATTTATTATTTTAATATAATATAATATTTTGACAATCGATAATTTGGAAAAAATCTTAAAGAAAGAAAAACTGAATGTGTATTGCCAGTTATTCTTGTCCGTCTGATTTTAAAACTGGCAGTAAATGTAAATTTAGAAGATTTTCTCCTTATTACCTATACTCTGATTTTTAATTCCGTAGAGTTCTTACATTTCATAAGTGATGCTACTAAAAAAGTTCTCCACCGAAAAAGGGACAAATTTAACTTAATTGAGGGCAATAAAAAATGTTTCGTATTTTTTATGTTTTACCTACAAAAAGGCAAATCTAAATATTAACTTACTCAAGTGACCTAAGACAAAAATAACAAATATTTCAATATCACGAACAATATATCGTATTAACTTAAAATATTTTATTTTATTCTTTAGCTGGCATCACTGCCTACTAATTCCAGATTAACTAAACCTTTAAAAAAAAGATAATGTTATCTTTACTTATGTGTTTTTTATCGCCGTTAAACCACTTTTAATGTGGAGCACCGCACTTAATAAAATGGCTACATTAACTAACAATAAAATGTATGTATAGACTCAGATGTCCGGACTCGTATTGAAATTGAAAAAAGTGCCCGGCCAAAAAGGTTGGCCATCACTGAAATGTCAAAAAATGATAGCTGTCAGAATTCTACGGAATTAAATATCAGTATTCATAATTAAATGATATTTTGATTAAATATTTTAATAATTTTATAAGTTATACTTATTTATGCGCGTTATGAAAAATTGATGAGAGTGAAATTTTATAATTTTACGAGATGCTACGGCATTGGACATAATTTAAAAACAACATTCGAATAATAATAGAATTTATGTTACACTTAATGTAAGAGAATAATAATAAATATTAATTTATTTAATTTTTCAAATGTAAACTGAACTTTGATTGACTATAATGACTCCTTTACCAGTCTTTGATTATTTAATTGTAATTAATGATTTGCATGCAATCAAAAACTATTTTTAATAATGCCAAAGAAATATAACTTCTTACGCGCGTACATAACACGCACCCTTTTTTTTTATTATAAGAAATGTATTGCTGGCGACATCGAATAAGAGGTATTTTCATAGTATTTTTCTTTCAGGTGAACTCCGCGGTATGACAGGTCTCTTCCCTAGTAACTATGTCACTAAATTAGTTAACTAAATATTTAAACGTTGTAGTTACGCTTTTTAACAGTGTTTACAGTAGACCATCGAAGTGACCTTGGCTAAGGCTGGAAATCATTTTTATGGTCCACTGTCTTCACTCCAAAGTTAAGTATAATTAAATCATGAACAACCTTAATGTTTTGTCAATCACTAGAACTAAGGGTGGCAACATTCCATTTTGAAAATTTTATTCTAATTTTAAAATTAATTTATTGATGTCATTTTTAATAATTTTAAATATTGTCGTCTTATTTAACGAAGAATAAAATCATAAATTATAGAAATGTCTTCCGTTTCCATGTGCATTTTTTTCGGATTGACAGTCATTGTTTTTATTTTTTAAGTGTGACCACCCACAAATACCAAATTGGTAGAAATGTAGTATTACCATGTACAAGTATATCATTGTTATTTACTGTTGTCGTGTAGAATTAAATTTATGAATCAAATATTTCTTTTATTTGTGCACCTATAAATCATTTCGGCCTTGTAGCGACACCTAGTCTTTAACTAAGGATATATACAAGTCAACCTTAGCCATTTGTGCTTTCGGGCATTATGAATGCGACCGAGAAATTCGAGTATTGTCGACCTTTAAATCGAATGAAGAGCAGCACCGTGCTTCGTCCACGGCCTTATTATAAAACATGGTTTAAAATTAGCATATTTCCATATCAATAGTATGGCAATCAACCTAGTAGAGATGGGTAGAGTATCGTTGAGTACAGAAGAGTTGGGTAGAGTATAAATTAGGTATTGTCGTATTAATAATTAATAGGACGCCGATACATGAAATTTTGACCTAGAATTAACATGTTCTCTGTTGAGATGTGATTGTGTTTAGTAAATGTTTACGGGTAAAGTATCTGTATAAGTGTCCAAAAGGAATTACGCAAATGCCGTACAGTAATAAATGACCTATATTGCTCCTGCAACTATCGTCGAATTAAAAATTTGCACCGACTTCCGGTACCATCACTTTAGTACGGCACTAAGTTTTTCGACATTTATTTTTGATCATCTATACACTTATAACAAAGCCGTACATTAATAATAAGTCGAAATTCCAGAATTGTACCTGAGAAAGTCCATTCACTCACGTACTCACATGTACCGCTCAGAAATGACGGCATAGTGCTCAGAGCTATTTTCAGATATAGTAACAGCCTTCTAAGCGTAATTCACGTTGGGTCGTTTCACAGGTATTTTTTGTTCATGGGCTTGTGGTCTACCCGTGAATGTTTTTGGAACCATAAAATCAGTGTATTTATATTATTTTGCAAGTATTTGTTTAGTGAATAAACAAAATAAAGAGTATACAATAATATTATACGGACACACCTATTCACAAACTCATACACTTACGCATACTTAAGATCTTACACGATGTTTTGTTTGATTAAATTTAACTTTAAGACTACTTTTACTTCAAATTATTTTCATATAAATCTTATTGAAGTGAAACTTCTAATGCGACTGCGTTTGACGCTCCTGGGGGAATAGAAAGAGACAGAGCGAGAGTGAATGCTTCCTATTTTCATTTCCACATTACGAAGTTTCACTTCTGTCGCGCGGAGGGACACCACGCACTATTTTATTTATTTTGTTTTAAACATGCACCATGTACCACGGAAGAACTGTTATCTGGTCATCCACAACACGGGGGCCTTCTGCTCAGCTCTCTAGTGTAGGGCCTAGCATTAAATCAATTTTGTCACAACCATATTTTGTTATGAATAAAGTTTAAATAAATAAAATAAAACAAAATCTGCATTGACCCGCATTATCATGATATTGCTTGAGAATTACATTAGCTCATGCTTGGTTGATCTAGTCCAGGTTTCGAAAAAAAAATTAGGATGTAGGGAATGTATATAAAATAAAGAGTTAGTGTAGTAATAAATATTTACATTTATTTGTGTTTAACATTTCACGGAACTTACATATAAGATAAAAGTTTTAAAATAATTTTATTTTTGCGTACATTTTTTGATACTACCGTCGCCAGGACTCGATGGAAAATAACATTCTATATTTAAACGAAATATCTTAAATACGGCCTTTCTCTTGCTAAGTCGTGGTGAACCCATTGATTCGAATCTACTAATAATTACCGAAATTATAATTGATGCACAATTTATAAAATAATATAAACTGGGTTATTTTGTAACTTATACAATGTTTTAAATCATTTATCCAATATATAGTTAATAATAATTTTAGATAAGTTAAAATATTTTTGTGAACTGCTCTACGACTTAGCAAGTCAAAGATTTTTACAAAACATATTAACAAAATTTTGATTTGTTCCGTAAAACATCTTTGGAAAATAAGTCTTTTGTAACTATAAAAACTACAATGAAATTAGCATGTTACATTTGTCTATTCATTTGCAATTTTTTGCTTTCTTATAATTACAAAAGATCCAGTTCCGACAGTTTTACACAATTATTTTCTTTAAATTTTTATGAAGGAAAAGAAACAGTATGATCATTATTGATTTATAATGTTAAATAAAACTTTTGAGTGGTTCAGTTCAGAAACCATACTTCATTAACAATAGGCTTCATAATAAAAACCGTAAATCAATTAAAAACATGAATATTATATTTGGTAAGATGAAGTACTAAACACAAAGAACTATGTTTTAATCTACATGTTCAAAGCTACTAAAATTTTTCATGCGACACATCTTCAAAAAAAGAATGTTTCTTTGACTTTTATGTGATGAATTATAACCTAAATGTTTTTTTAAAAATATTAAAATTAGATCTGTTCTTCATATTTGTATAAAACTGTCAAAATATTCCAGATATTACTAGATTATTGGTTGACTGTGGGGACTGTGGATTCTGTACGCGCTTGTTGTTCGCGCCAGTGACGCTCCACAAATTTTCTTATGTAATTGTATGATTTGGAATCTGTTTCACCTATCACATTGTCTACCTGTGAAAAAATTACATTAACCATTATACCTTTTCTCTATATTAAGAAGATTGTTTCATGTAATAAATCATATATTTTTTAACATTCATAAGAAATATTTATTTTCAAGCCATATATTTTATCCTTTATACAAGTTACTAAACAAAATAACCAAATGTAATCCAATTATAATTGACAATTATAGCAAAAAGTTCAAAGAGTATATTACTATTTCAAGGTCGCAGATTTTGTTAAACTATCAAAAAATCTCAAAAAAATATAAACAATGTTGTATAGATTGTGAATTATAGTTATCGGTAAAATACATTGTTTTTTTCTTAAAAGTATACTTACTTTATATGGTGGTGTGATGGTGACTTGATTGTAGACTCTGATACTCTGGCCTGACCATGACACATCCTCTATAACTCTAGCAATCGCCATAAAGAGGCGCTGGCCTTCTGGATCTAGACATGCTGATAGAGCAGATACCTATAATATAATATTATGATATTAAATTAAAAAAATACCTGAATTAATTGTTAAACTGATAAAAAAAATAACCGGAGTTCTTTCTATTTTACTTTTTGTAAGTGAATTCAATCGTTATCATTAAAAAAAATGTATTAATTTTAAAATCTTTTACATCTACAGATCTTAGTACTTTCTTTTAAATATAATAATCTATATAAAAGACAAAATCATTGTTATGAAGACTTACAAAATATTTTAACATATTATATATATTATGTCTACTACTATCATGTACACTTGCAAGCAAAGTATACTTTGCTATTATATTTAAAAGATTAATATATTTTTCTAGGTGTACAGTAATAATAGCATTGCACCTTTGATGAATATTCCTGGTTCCAAGTTTATTAAAGTCTAGGTCTATGTGAGCTAACTCCAACTACTTCTGTCATTTCAGCTTACAAAAACTAATAACTATCATCAGTGACAGGGTTAATAAACTTTTGTCATAACATAGGTAATCAGACATTCCAGTTGACTAATTGAAGCTTGTATTATAAGGTCCAGAAAGATAATTTGTTGACGAATTATTGAAAAGCCACTCACCAGCCTTCGTTTATTATCTATCGCGTTTCGAACTCTTGTGTTTAACCTATGAAGATTCAGCGACGGTGGTGGGTCGGGCACTGTAGTCACTTCCTTTTTAACCTGAACATCGCTAACGAGCGACAAATTTACGACATTAACATCGTGGCGCTTAGGATTACCACTCGATGATGGACATTTTAAAATAAGCATTTTAGTTTGTGGGTCAAATGCAAGCACTTCTCCTTCGATATGTTCATTGTAACACGTTCTGGTAGCCACTATACTGCCGATTGTGAAGCAGTCAGACACGACTGTCGACATTTTTACGTTTGTTGAATTCTTTTTAATATTTGTAAATTGTTTTGCTGTGATTTCTATTTTCCTAATTTAATCCGCCATGGAAATTGGAATGGTAACAGAATTTGGAAAGTGACATTTGACTTTTGAATGCCACAGCCCACAGACCATACCATACCATAGAATAAAGTACTCAGATATGTTTACTCTCACAGAGTTATTTTCTAGTATATAATATGTCACCGTAAAATTGTAAACACCGTTAGATTGTAATCTATCTCGCCAGATTATGAACTGTCGAAAGATTGTGAAACTCAACGTACTGCTTACAATTTAACGTATTATTATTCGGTAGATTGTAATCTATCGAAGTGAAACCGTCAAATTACAATCTTAAAATTGTCAAATTGTTAACTGTCCGAAGGCTGTCCCTGATTGGTCGGCTTTATAGTAGTCCGTTCTATGCCCATAGAGTTAGGAATGAAACACGGGTAGCAGTCAAATAAACTGAATGCACTTCACGAATTGTGACATCAAGTATTTATTCATAACTTAGTAGGTAATCAATAATTCTGAAATCACTCAAAATAAAAAATCAGAAACGTAACAATATTTTCTCCTCAAACATAAATTAAAATTGAAAAAGTAATGAAACAATCAATTTACATTCGACAACAAACGAATTAACAAACAAATATGGTGGCGCGGGGCATATTCCGTTCAACCAATCAGCGCGCGAGGTGCGATCCGTTTCACAATTTGACGGTTTCACTTCGATAGATTACAATCTACCGAATAATAATACGTTAAATTGTAAGCAGTGCGTTGAGGTTCACAATCTTTCGACAGTTCACAATTTCGCGAGATAGATATATATTATATAGATATATGTATATTCTTATTGAAAGTCGTATACTCTTGCAATATTTTTTTCTAGCAACACATGAATACTGAAGCAAGACAGAAAATGTATTAAAATTTAAAATACTATGATATTGTAGTATGAAAGTGATACGTTGTCCAAATAAATATGAAATATCAACGATTTATAGTTGGACCAGTAGGACACATGAACTTGAACAACAATTAATAACAGACACTAGTACAGAAAAACATTTACAATTGAAACAAATATATTTACTTGGCGGATTGACGTTGTAAATGAGTCGTTCGTTGACCTTTCTAATTGAGGTTTTCTCGTTAATACCTACATGTGTAATATTTTGATTGCATCTATAATCTACTGGGGAAAGGTTCTTAAAAAATAAAACTCGAGTCTATTATTAAAATGCGTATTTATTGAATTACTTCAAGCGCTTAAAACTAATGATTATGATTATGACAAATATTTACATATCTCTAATGAAAATCAATGATATAAACGAAACAATTCTTTTACGATTCTAAAACTACTATAATAATTTATGTGCTCTACTTAAAAAAAATCGTCATTGATTTTCAGATATGAAAACATTGAATTTAGTAATATTCTTTATCATTTAATATTTTCTTTATAATAAATCCAAAAATTCAACATTCCAATCAGTTGAAAAAATTATTTTAATAAATTTATCATAAAATTTTGGTATTAAAAATATACGGTTTTCGGAGAATATGGCGTCAAATAATGTTCAATCTATTCTTTACTAGTTGGCAATGGATCACCTTTTTCTTAAATTATGGCCATAATGTTGTATATGAATAGAATGAGCAGTTATTGAGCATAATAGTGATGTGTGACGATGAATACAATTTGGGTCCCATATAAAAATGTAATTACGTAGAAATCACAGTTAAGATGAAAAATATTAGCTATGTTTTACTACGTTAACATCTATTATGAACTTAATAAAATATTTTTATTTAGATATAACCTTTTCAAAGCATTTTAATATACATGGCAACATTTTGGAATAGAAGCATTATTATGAAAAAAACAGATGTTTAACAAATCTACATTTTTATAAATCAAATCTGTGCTACATTGACATAGAAAAATATAAAAAATGCAAAAATAAACACCTGTTTAAAATTAAAAAATCTTGTCTTACTTTAACAGACTTATATGCTAGAATAATATAAAAAGTGATGTGACTGAAATAAAAACAAATTCCCCTTTGTTTACAGAAAATAAAGAAAAGTCATGTTAGAAAAAAAGTAGATTAAAGAAAATCTCCAAATCAAAAGACAACTAAAACATAGTTAAAAAGTCAATCACATCAATTTTTATATAACACGTCTACGTCTAGATACAAAGATTTTTTTTTTTATTTTTTTTTTTTCAAATCTTCCCACTAGGCGTGACCGTTTTAGCTACTAAACCTTACAATCTGAAACAAAAAAATCATATTAAATTTAACAAACTTGGGAAGCGTTCAAGTATTACGTAACGAATTTTGGGGGGGTCCTTTTTTAAAACGTTACGATGCGGGGCGGGGATTGAATTACGCGTTATTGTTAATATTATTTTCGATTTCCAAATACTTAACACCTCATAATGGTAACTTTTAGGTATAAAGAGTCACTGGGTGATTACAAAACGTTTTACTATACTTGGGTACAGAAAAACGTTACGACACGTTACATGGGGGGGGGGGTCAATAATCTCCAAAAATTGCGTGACGTAATACAACCAGGAATAACCATAATACTACGGCTATATTGTTTCATACACATGTTTAGTAAGGACAATTTTTAGAAGAATCTTTGAATTTGTTTAAAAGACTACTTTAGTATAAAAATATAATCCATTGTGAACCTTCTATTCGTGAAAAATATATATATGTATATTTTTTATTTAATTATTTTTATTCACACTACAATTTTTTTTAATTACTTTGACAATTTTTGACCTAGATATCTTTTGTACATTTTCTACCTGTCCTCCGGACCTCTATCAAGACCGGAAAAGAGTGACAGTAAGAAACAGGGTCATAATTTTTTTTTGTCCATAGTACCAAATTCTATTTTTTTCCATTATTAACATAGCTTAAGTATATAATATTAAAAAATAGTAATACCTGTACCCATCATATCAGTCTTTCATATATTTAGTTCAGCACAATCAGTCTGGGAGGGAGCATTCCTTTTTTGCTCAACCAAATGCTGAAAAAGGTATTATTTTATATTAAAAAAAAACCATTGTATTAAAAAAAAAACATAATTAAAAATAGCAATGAATATATATATAATATTCTCTATAATCTATAGTCACTAATAAATACATTGTTTTTAAAAAAAATGTCAATAATTTTCTGAAGTCAGTTACAAATGCAAAATGAGTAAAAGTTGCTTTAATGTATAGTCTAGTCGACAAGTTGAAAATGGAACAAAATAGAGATACTGCTCTTAAAATTATGTGCGATAGCTCATTCGAACCGGAATGACGCCTAGAAAAATGTGCTAAAAGCGTGTATTAGCACATAAAAAATTGCAAAAGTTATAGACCATTAAAGATGAAAAAAAATGGAATTTAGTTTTTTACCAATATTTAATAAACTATTAATATTTAAGAAATTTCAAATAAAGATTCTGAAAGAGGAGGAAATTTCCAATAAAAACTCTCAGCTCCCGGAACTCTATCTCCATTATTTATAACTTTAATTTAACGCTGAAAATAGGTCTGTGCGTGACATTTTTAGGATTCGCGCGTGGCGTCAAAAGCGACTACGGCACATTAATTAATTTATTTAAGGTATTGAATATTTTTTTTTAAATTTGAAAAAATTATGGTGTGTTCTGAACACTATAATTAATTTATTCCCGTTGGAAATTTTACTTAAAGTTAATTTTTCAACAAGTTAAATAATTGTTAACTAACGAAATTTTCTCGAACGACCGTCTTAATTGTAAGTGAAAAAAATGTTTTAATAATGGTCGTAAAAATATTTCGCTTCGTAGAGCCTTTCTTACATACATACTTAACAAGATCGTGCCATAAAAGTTAAAGAAATATTTATACTTTGTTTATAACAATTTTTTTACTTAAACAAAAACTTAAAAATCCAAGTAATGTTGTTAAAAAAATTTTTTTTTTTCTAAATCATCATATTATCGTTTTTATATTAATACAAGATATTTATTGATTTGCAAAAAAAAATTTCCCTCCATTTGTTGATAATTTTTTTTAAACAAATTGATTAAATCAATTGTTTTAAAAAAAAATTTTCTAAACTTTATTACATTACAAATATTATGATTGTTTAAAAAAAAAAATTCCTTAATAACATATTTTAATTGTTTATAATCGTTTTTTTATATTTCTATTGTTTAAATAATTAGTTAAGAAATTTTTTTTTCTAAAAATCATAATTGACAGTCCTCTATAAAGTAACAAAAAAATTTTTTTTTTTTTTTAATCAACAATTCTATTGTTTATTAACTTACCAATTTGTTATAAACAAATGTTCAACTTTTTTATATTTTTTTTCTAAAACTTCTAAAATTAACAAAAACAACCATATATAACAAAATATAGAAAAACATTTTTTTAAATTTTTTGATTATCATGAATATTACTTTTATTAAAAATTTTTTTTTTTTTTTATAGACTTTGTTATATATGTTTGTTTTTGTTAATTTTAGAAGTTTTAGAAAAAAAATATAAAAAGTTGAACATTTGTTTATAACAAATTGGTAAGTTAATAAACAATAGAATTGTTGATTAAAAAAAAATTTTTTTGTTACTTTATAGAGGACTGTCAATTATGATTTTTAGAAAAAAAAATTTCTTAACTAATTATTTAAACAATAGAAATATAAAAAAACGATTATAAACAATTAAAATATGTTATTAAGGAAATTTTTTTTTTTAAACAATCATAATATTTGTAATGTAATAAAGTTGTGAAAATTTTTTTTTAAAACAATTGATTTAATCAATTTGTTTAAAAAAAATTATCAACAAATGGCGGGAAATTTTTTTTTGCAAATCAATAAATATCTTGTATTAATATAAAAACGATAATATGATGATTTAGAAAAAAAAATTTTTTTAACAACATTACTTGGATTTTTAAGTTTTTGTTTAAGTAAAAAAATTGTTATAAACAAAGTATAAATATTTCTTTAACTTTTATGGCACGATCTTGTTAAGTATGTATGTAAGAAAGGCTCTACGAAGCGAAATATTTTTACGACCATTATTAAAACATTTTTTTCACTTACAATTAAGACGGTCGTTCGAGAAAATTTCGTTAGTTAACAATTATTTAACTTGTTGAAAAATTAACTTTAAGTAAAATTTCCAACGGGAATAAATTAATTATAGTGTTCAGAACACACCATAATTTTTTCAAATTTAAAAAAAATATTCAATACCTTAAATAAATTAATTAATGTGCCGTAGTCGCTTTTGACGCCACGCGCGAATCCTAAAAATGTCACGCACAGACCTATTTTCAGCGTTAAATTAAAGTTATAAATAATGGAGATAGAGTTCCGGGAGCTGAGAGTTTTTTATTGGAAATTTCCTCCTCTTTCAGAATCTTTATTTGAAATTTCTTAAATATTAATAGTTTATTAAATATTGGTAAAAAACTAAATTCCATTTTTTTTCATCTTTAATGGTCTATAACTTTTGCAATTTTTTATGTGCTAATACACGCTTTTAGCACATTTTTCTAGGCGTCATTCCGGTTCGAATGAGCTATCGCACATAATTTTAAGAGCAGTATCTCTATTTTGTTCCATTTTCAACTTGTCGACTAGACTAGTAAGACATATTATTATTTTAATAGTTATTTATAACTAAAAAAATATTCTTACCCAATTCCGGCTCCGATGAGAAGAGACACAATGTTGGTGACAAGAACGGCCGCTACAGCACCGCGACTAAACAGGCAGGTGCGACGGACGGACAGGCAGTGACTCTGTAAATACATATAAAAATTAAAATGTATTTTAAGGCAAACAAAATTTTAATAATATTTTATGTGTGTGCGCCACGTGACAGGTAGAGTCTGTGCAGAAAGAGCTGTCGTGGGATTTGCGGTTACTGCAGTGCTATATTACCAATTTCGTTATGTTGACAATAGTAATTACGTCATTATAGTTCAACTGTTATCACCTTATTAATATTAAAAGAATAAAATATACCTTTTGTGAATAATAATTATTATTAGTTAGTAACCGCCACCCCGATTCGCTCTTCGCGCAGAGAAAAAAATACAAAATTCAATAATAAAACAACCAAAAAATCATCTCACCTGCTGCATATTAGCCTGCTGCTCCAAAACCTCAATAGAGGAGGTGGCTGAGGGAGGTCCACGAGCATTTACCGGGTGCTTGAACCGCCAGTCCCTGCGAAACACCATTCTAAATTATATATATTTTTTTTTATTAATAATTGTTTATATATATACTCGTATATAGTCTAAAAGTAAAGAAAATACCAAAATTCCTTATAGATAATATAGTAAAGTATCTAAAGTATTTATCTAATTAATTTGCGATATTTGTTTTAAAATAAGTGTTGTTTGATGATTTGCTATTATAAAGAGAACTAAGAGTTTTTTAACGGCTTTTTCTCTCGGCCTACACCCTCTGTCTTCTTTGCCGATGAGTAGGGATGCCTACAGATTCAAATTTAATGACGTGGAATAAGTGATACCTGTATCTTATATTCCATAATAAACATTTTTTTTTTAATTCTTGCACTGAAATACGCAAAATAATTGTTAACTTACTATATATCTCTATTTACGAGATACATTTGGGTTGTATGGAGTGTACCATTTTTACCCAGTTATGTATCCAACATTGTTGTCTTGGGTATGGTAGGATACAACAAGTTCAAGAACGCTCCCTGTTCAAGTATTACGTAATGAATTTTGGGGGTGGGTCCTTTTGTAAAACGTTACAATGCGGGGCGGGGATTGAATTACGCGTTATTGTTAATATTATTTTCGACTTTCCAATACTTTACATCACACAATGGTAACTTTTAGGTATAAAGAGTCACTAGGTGGTCACGAAACGTTTTATTATACTTGGGTACAGAAAAACGTTACGACGCGTTACATGGGGGGGGGTCCAATAATCTCCAAAAAATAGAAATAAGGAATATATTATCATATCATAATATTTTTTAAGGTCCTTAGAGGTAGAATATAATGCGGAAATATTGGAGAGACAGACTGCGTGTGCCAAATAATCACATTCGGCGTGGTTAGCGGTCGCAAATCGCAATTGCTTGCAGTGCTTCGAGCGCTTACAAATTTACTCTGAGAAGCGCCATTTACGCGTGTATAGGGTGCGCAACCCTGAATATTATTGCTTGTGAAACTGATATATTTAGTTGCACACTGGCTGAATTCACAAGAATTGCATTATTTATAATTAGTTATGAAAAGGTTAAGGTGTTATGTTTATATTATGCTTTTAGTATATTTTTTTTATTAATAATTTTTCTATTGTATTAGTATTTCATTACTGTAAAAATAGCAAATAAATAAATAAATATCTCCCTTTTTTAAATGTAACTGTTTTTAACCAATTTTTAAACCATCATATTGTAATAATTTATTTCTTTATAGCTCACCTATAGATGTATGGACCTGGAGAGATTATATTATTATAAATTACGGTTTACTAATAAATATATAACTTACTTAGGGGGCAGCTGGTCAGGCCGGCTGCTCCACTCCCAAACCCAATCGTTGGATTCATCCTGGAATTTGGACAACAATTTTTTATTGACAAACGTATTAAAAGAAAAATTAAGGGAAACCATAGACATTTGGTAATGAAACATACCCTCCAACAATTAATGTAGACTCCCTTCAGCTCATCTTCAGTAGACGGCTCGAGGTTCGGACTGTTGGGCGGCGATTTAGGACTGAAACCATGCACATATATGAAAAATATCTTGGTTAACAGATTTATTGGTATCTTGGTTCGATATATGAAAATGTATGCCCTAGAAAGTTCTAATAAAGAATTAAGCTTTTATTTGTCCAAAAGATTTTTAATTTACAGCCGTTGAGGACAGCCCTAGTCTCTCGCTGGATTTAAACTCGAAACGTCGTTTGTCTTTGTTTCACGCGACAATTACCCCCAATATATTGCTAAGCTTAAAACTTGATAGCTGGACCAATTCACGCAGTTTTTAATTTCTTCCTTGAACTCTATGGATGGTGTTATTAAAAAAATCTTTTATTTAGTACTTAGGTTTTTATTCCGGAAAATCGAACACTCATTGGGGTAGCTTAGCAAATGATCCATATGTTGGTATGTACCTACTAAAAAGGTAGGCTAAGTACAAATTAAATACAAAACATCTGCTATTTAATAATTCAAAAATTACTTCAGAACCAAGATTTAGCACAGCCTGAAAACTAATTAATATATTAATATAACAAAAGATATTTGGTTACTTATTATTTCCACGCGAGTGAACTTAGACAAATGACATTGCACGGTCAACTTATATTACAAAAAGTATTAAATATCTTATTCACAATATTTAAACAGGAATATATTTTCTATATTATATATTATTCTATATTATATATATATATATATTCGACGCGATAACTCACGCCAAGCTTTCTTCCGGCTTTTTGGGTTTAACATACAATTTATTATTTGAAGCTAATTACCTGCCCTTCATGCTGGAGGCTCGCGAGTGTCGAACAGAGGAGTCCCGGCTCTCCCTCTGAGCCTCACGCAGTAACCGAATGTATTCATTCTCAGCTCCATTAAGCCCACCAGAATTCAACTCCACCCACGATTCTGGAAGAAGCGATAAGTATTTTTAGTGACTACTAATTTAACAGTACTTTAACACTGAATACTAAAGTTCTTTAAGAATGTACTTGATATATTCTTGTGAATACTAAAGTTCTTTAAGAATGTACTTGATATATTCTTGTGAATACTTAAGTTCTTTAAGAATGTACTCGACATATTCTTGTGAATACTTAAGTTCTTTAAGAATGTACTCGATATATTCTTGTGAATACTAAAGTTCTTTAAGAATGTACTCGATATATTCTTGTGAATACTAAAGTTCTTTAAGAATGTACTCGATATATTCTTGTGAATACTAAAGTTCTTTAAGAATGTACTTGATCTATTCTTGTGAATACTTAAGTTCTTTCAGAATGTACTCGATATATTCTTGTGAATACTTAAGTTCTTTAAGAATGTACTCGATATATTCTTGTGAATACTTAAGTTCTTTAAGAATGTACTCGATATATTCTTGTGAATACTAAAGTTCTTTAAGAATGTACTTGATATATTCTTGTTGCCCATTCGGTTGCTATTTTTTAATTTTAATGTTGTCAAGGGAGACATTTTCGTTACTTTTCATTGTATAATATTTGACAGCATAAATGATGTTCCGTACACGGTATAGTTAAGAGAATTATTTCTATTCGATCACACCATACGTTTTTCTAACAAACTGGCTGCTATGTTTTAAACCGAAATATATAAAACAGCTGAATTGATCCCAATAAAAACCACTCTTTATCTCATTGGTCCACGTTCAATTGTCTGGATTCTTTGATTTATAAATATTTATGTCAATACATAGTTTTTATTTTTAAATATTTTAACTACACATGAAGTACAAAGGGCGTTACAAAGTAAGGCTGAAAGCAATTCGGGGAACCAACTATGATATTCACATTGTATTTGAAAGGATTCCTTTGTATAGGTAAAATCGTTAGCAGGTATAACAATTTGGGACGGGACAAATGAAATGAGGTGATTAACGGAATTCTCAGGTAACCGCAGAATTAACATCTTGTGTTCACATAGAAAACTGCCAAATGTAAATTTGAAATGGACTAAACATTAATAACAGTAAAATCTATGTTTGTTAATTTTCTTAAAGTACAACTGTCTATAACCCTTTAACGACATCCAGAAGAAATAAATGCAACCAAATTTTTGAATATTAAATCTTAATACAAAATTATTTTTAGTATATTAGGTATAAGAGCAGTGTTGCTCCAACGTGCGACTCTCATCCCTGAGGTCGTAGGTTCTATATGTACCAATGGACTTTCTGTCTAAGTGCGCATTAACACTCGCCTCGTACGGTGAAGGAAAACATCGTGAGGAAACCGGCTTGCCTTAGACCCAAAAAGTCGACGGCGTGTGTCAGGCACAGGAGGCTGATCACCTACTTGCCTATTAGATTGACAAATGATTATGAAAGATACAGAAATCTGAGGCCCAGACCTAAAAAAGGTTGTAGCGCCACTCATTTATTTTATTTATATAATAATAACATAATCGTACCTATACCGGACATGTTTATCATTATCTAATCTAAGTTACGGTCTGTTACACAAGCTTAATTTTAGGGCGCAAATACGAGATGGGCTCATTTATTGCTACTGGCACAAATATCATCTACACTGAAATCCGAAATAATATTCAAATATATGTTATATTTAAAGAAAAATTCTCCACTGATTTTTATTGAATGCCAGTAATTATCGTTACGCTAAACCAGTGTTATAAAAAAGATCACGTGACCGTTCATCAACCAGATAAAACGATCATGTGGCTGGAAAATCCGCTAGATACATTCGAGGATCGATTAAATATTTATAAATAAAAACTAAAAACAGTATTTGTACAAACGGTAGCCCCACACTAGGGACATACCTGTTGTGACTTACAAACTCTCCGTGGTACATACACATATGTATAACCGTATTAAGGGTACATTATTCAAGGATTTTTTCCTTAGAAGAGAATTTTTTTTTTCAAAAAACAATTGAACCAACTTCAAAATGCTAAGTATTACATTAATTATATATTTCTATTGATTGGTCATGCAATTAAAAAATGTATTAAATATATATATAATTCATTTATACAGGGGAATGAATCATTCTAAGCTTTTTTTGATCTCGATCTACAGAATCTGTATTTGAAATTACTCGTTCGGTATATTTGAAGCAAAAATTAATATATTCCTTATGTATTATAGTTTGATGTTAACGTTCATTCAGTTCCAATCTATGTTATGATCATGAGTCGTAGTGTGATCGTAGTGGGTGTTAGTACCGGCTTGGCAGAACCGGTTCCTACAGCATTCCTCACTTGTTTACTATTTGTTTACCAATATGGAGACGGTCTACCTTTATTTTTGTCTGCGTATACATATGCTCATATTTAGCTTTCTCATGTGCGAATATGTTGATTAAATATTTTTATAGATAATTCGTTGCCTGGAATTTTTCTTTAACACTTTAACAAAAATAAGGTATATAAATATATTACGCGTACCTAGCTTTAGATCAGTAGCATCAGGTCCAAGTTTCTTTATAAATCTCTCTATACTTTTAATTTCAATTGTTTTAATTGATTATTTACTTTCGTCAATGTTTGAACCTTTTTGTATAATGGTGGAACACATATTTGGCTTTATATCGAGTATAATTGCTATTTTTATATATAATTTATATCTACATTCTACAGCTTATATAAATAATACAAAAAAATAACATACGATTATGAAATAGATTCGGATTTTTATCACCTTTAAAAGAGGCCTAAGTGGAAATAATTTATATTTATCAATAATTGGCAATTCGTGACGAATAATTATAGATTATTTGTAACACATGTTAACACACGCTAACACGCAAAGCGAAACGAAAAATTCAAATAAATATAGTTTTATCTATAAACCAAATTTCAAGGACAAATAAAATTTTATTGTTTTAACAAAAAACGATTTAGTATTGAAAACTGACGCAATAATTTTTCAGACTTAAACCAATACAATAGATTCCAACTGAGCCCGAGGAGACGAGAGTATTTTGTTTAGGTACTTTGAAAACATGCCGATCAAAAATGGAGGCAATTCAATTCTAGGTAAAGCAACAGAAATATATTATTCGCGTAAATTAACTTCTTGCAAGAGGTTATTTTAACGAACATAAAACCGGCTTTTTTGCGCATTGTGAATATTTACACTAACATAATTTTGCAATTATATTTTTATACAAAGTAGCGAATACACGAGAAACTTTAACCAGTCAAACTAGATTGAATCGAGTAAAGCGAAACTCCACGTCCCCGTTTACCAAGCGTCTGCACCGGATATTACTTACAACTTATATTAAAGCATGAATTTATATTGTAAATAATTCATGTGTTAACTATAAAGACGATACATTTTCATATTGAAACTTAGATTTTAGCCTACTCAGTTGTTCTGAAGCTCTAGTGGGTAGAAGATATCCAAATATAACAAAAAATATAATAAGTGATTTAAATTTAGAAAAGTCATACAATTATGTTAGCGGTCTGCTAACACAACATAATTATGCTAATTAAAAAATTAATCACATAAACTATTTATTAAAACACTGATAACGCCGAAATAATTTATTCAATAACTAATATTTACCAAGTTCATCAACCGCTACTGCGCTCTTTGGTTCGTACATGTTGACACGTCACAGACAATACACAGATTTATTGCGCACTAAATAAAGATCAACAAAAATTTATATACACCGGCCGCGCGTCCACGCGCGCCGAGCGATCGAAGCAGACTGAGATTATTTTTGAATTACGAACGTAAACATTAAACAAAGCACTGCGTATGCGCAAATGTGAATGTACGGTGCATGTGCAATAATTGCGTAGCACCAAGGAAGGAATCGTGACGCGCGGCATGTCGACTTTTGGCAATAACATACGGATATAACTGTTCAATTAACGAAGTGTATTAGTGCAATAAACTTTGAAAGACCGATATTTCGTTAATAATTCAAGGCAAATCAGGATATTATTATTAAACATCCGATCTTAACGAACGAACGGTACTGCAGAATAGATACACATAGACTATACAGACACCGCTTAGTTCTAGTTTATAAGGTTTACTTTGTATACTTTATATGTGATAAATTAATTAGAATTAATCACTAATTCTCAATAACTAGTCCAGAAATGTTTATGTATAAAAAAGAACCAATGTTGCTACAACCCTTGGTCTTGGCGTTAGATTTATGTATAGGTTTCGAGATCAGTTTTTTCTAATAGCAAGACTTTCTGGTTCAAAGGCAAGCCGGTTTGAGTGTTAAATGCGCACATAGAAAGAAAAGTCCATTGGTACACAGCCGGAGTTCAAACCTCTGGGATGAGAGTCGCACGCTCAAGCCAGAAGGCCGATACTGCTAAATATTTTGAATCAACCACTATATAATGGAGATTCAATGTTTGGCGACAGTATTATGAACACTAATAAAGGACGCTACAATAGCAACTGTGATTCATAAAAACCAGTTCACCTGGATGCACTAGACCTTACCAGAGCTAGGTTGTCCACAGACCACAACTGGAAGCTTGTAAAATCACTAAGTTATTACTTTTATATGAGCTGGTACGTAGGTGGATATTGTATGTTAATGAGGTATGAATTGTGTCTTGTTTTAAATTGTTAAAGCATTTATGTAATATGTTTTGCTTTATTGACGTTCATAAGTGTACATTGTGTTACCTAAATTAATAAATGATTTTGAATTTGAGTTGCTGGCACGGGATGGTAGCCGCAAGTTGTATATTTAAAAAAATCTGGGCTCAAATGTCAAGATTGCATTAAAGCGGTCATCCGAAATATTAAGAAAATACATTTTAATAACTGTTTTAAACAAACAATAATAATAAATCATACTTGTAATTTAAATAATTTCGTAGAATTCTCAAATATCAAATATTTGTCGACTGATTTAACTATAAGTTACATTCTATTGTATTAGTAAGAACATATAATTCTAAATAACAAATATCTATCAAATAAAACTACGTGTTGTTTTGTTACATAGGATTCATATTTTATAAATAGAAAATAGATAAGTTAAGTTTTGATGAAGAAAAGAGTCAATTTCAAAACAAGTTCATTATCAGATAGATGCGCAGGAGTAAACAATGGGGCAACGTCACAGCTTAGAACAATAACAACGATTGTGTCACCTAGTCTGGTCTACACTTGTTATTTCCAAGAACAAATCTTTTGGTCTCCTTCCATGATGTCGAGACGAAATGTATGTATAAATATTATTTTATTTTTTAACACTAAGCACACACAGCACTTATATGGATGTATTTAATTGTTATAAAGCAATCGAATCGTCGTATAATCTATAATATAAAATGAATCGCAAAATATGTTGGTAAGCGCATAACTCAACAACGCCTGGACCAATTTGGCCAATTCTTTTGTTATAATATTCCTTGAAGTACGAGGATGGTTCTTACGGAGAGAAAAATTTAAAAAAATTGAGTGAAAAAGTCTAAAAGCAACACTTTTCTATATTCCCATACAAAATATTCGTAATAATACTTAAAATTCAATTTGAACTTTAATACCATATCATAAAGTTCAAATGTTAGTGGAGGGGTTCCGGGAAGGTAAATTTTTATTTTTTGACATCATGTATTTGTTGTCTTATCAACTTTCTTTTTTTTATCTTACTAGCTAGACCGGTGTCCCGAATTGCAGAATAAGTATTTAAAAAAAATAAAGAATCGACTGTTAGGCGGTACGATGTTCGCCAGGCCAGCTAGTAATGTAATAAATTTGCGCCTACCGCAACCAAAGACAATAATTCTTCGTCTTTATGCAATCCTTCGAGGATTGGCGATCATCACTTTGATTTTGGATGCCGCGCTTCAAAACAATGATGTACCAAACCGTAGACAATAATATATTATTATTTACACGGCGTCTCACGTAGGTAATAATGTGTACCAGCGTTACATTATAACGATTTTACTTGAAATTAACAAACAACATGTTCCGACGTAATTTAATTAAACAATACAAGGACAAAACTTTTAATCCCGAACATCTGTATAAATTTGAACGATTATTCAGAAATAATACTCGAATAACAAACCAAATGTATAGTTATATATAAAATGTTAGGTAATATGGAAATAAACAGATCCGACAGAGTCAAGGATTATGGATGATTAGTCTCAAATTACGTGGAAACTTTCGTGTTCCATTATCGATTAAGGTTTAGCCAGCGCCAGTAGTATGTAATTAAAAAAAGGACAGCCATTTTACATTAAAAACAAAGGAAAAACAAAACGAAATCGCATACCCTTTAAAAGTCAAACACAGCATGTATTAAATGTTCTTAATTAAAATAAACAGTGGCGCTACAAACATCAGTCTTGCCCTTAGATTTTTGTATATTCTTACGAGGTAGGGGATCGGATAGAAGATGCCGTAGATCTCTTCAAGGCTTTATTTTTTAATAAATCAACGAGGAATTTGTTTACACTAAAAATACGTAAATTACGCGCAAAATACACTAATTACAACACACAAAATATAGTCACAAATTACTTCAATTACGCGCAATTCACGACAGTACCTTTTCACTTGTCTTCACTATTCACACTTTATTCCTTCGATGTTAATCACTTGGAATCGTTTTAAAACTGAATTTATTGGTTTTTATTTTTGGAATGGAATCTCGCTGTTGACCTTACGGACCTTTACAGGTCAGCTCGGGCTGTTTTGGCCAGCGTAGCTCGGCCGGAATGGGCGTTTTCCCGCGACCAGCGCAAGGGCTTCTTCTGCGAGACTAAGCCCTCAGCTTGGGCCGTCGCGGGGTTATTTCAATGGTCGCGTTTCGGACCAATTATATATCGTTGGGAATTATCCTGAACGATGTTCGAGAACTTTCTAGGCAGTTACTGAGTTGTGGATGTTCTATCCTTATCGCACAATTCTAGAACGTACACCGCCGTCCGTAACGTACTCCTTATCTCTTTTGCACATCACACCGTCCTTGTCGTACGGCGAAAAGTGTCCGATCTTCCCTATTTTCGCGTATCATTCCATCCTTGTCTCACACGTAGAAAGTTCACTCTAGAATATTACTTAATCAAATGAGTATATCCAGTCCTAAAAACTGTACCACTCGATTACACTTGCTCTGAAACATCCTGAAATGTTTCAGCCTCCTGAAAACTATAGTTACTTTATGCAAATAAAAATTTTCTGTAATGTGATAGAGCCGCTCCTATAACGCCCATAAATCACATTTTAACTTGCTGAAAACGTCTCTAACTTGTGGGAAAATCGAGAAACATTTCAGTCTACCCATCTTCGTAACAATATGTGATGTAGGCAAGTAGGTGAATAGCCTTCTGTATTTATATGTTATTTAGATTTAGTTCTCCTTAGTTGTATGCTGCGTGCTTATGCCACAACCATCGCAGATCGCGCGGGACTGGGGCTGGCCTCTATTACGCTTAATGTAGAGTGATACAATCAGAATAACATTTTGAATATTCAACTATATAAAAGCATACATCTCAGAAACAGAAACTAACTAACATTTTACATAGAAGATATCGTTATTACACAGACAATAAAATACTGTGTCTATTCGTTGTTGTAATATATTTAGCACAAAAGACGATTCTATATTTAGTAATTGAAAAATGTTTGCTATTCTTGGAACAGGAATACCTAGTATTAAGTGTCATAAAGATAATCTTATTAAAACGTAGAATGTTTTGCACACTACAATTTCAATTTCATAGAAAATACTATAATATTGCTTCAGCTTTTTGAAGGCTTTTCGCGTAGATTGATTTTTTTATTTAGGAACACGAGTATATTTTTGCGTTTTTAGGAAATGGACTTATAAATATATGTATAGAATTAAGTCAATCAACGCTCCTACAAGTCGGAATAAGTTTAGTTTCCTCATTATAATTATTATTACTCGTATGGTTTCACCCCGTAATACAGTCACAGGAAGCGTATGCTATATTGAACCATAAACACGTTTTTCAATAAATCCTTTTCTCAGATACCTTTTGTCTATGGATTAAATCAACAAATATAATATTAGGTCCTTACATATGAAATTGGCGTATTTCGTACTGGCCACTTTAATCACGATGTTCTCCTCTTTGGTAAGGATTCCAAATTCAAATTTGTACAGCTATTTACTCATGTATTTGTGCTTCGATGTCCGTCATTCATTTGTTTTTTTCTTCTGTTTTTTTCTGTTTGCGTCACTCATTTTACAAAATGGAAAACTTAAAGTATCGCATTATTTACGAGTACGAGTTCCGCCGTGGCACTAGTGATGCGGAAACGACTCGAAGGGTGAATTATGTGTATGGCGGTAGTGTTGAAAAGAAAACACAGTTCGTTTTTGGTTCCAACGTTTTCGTTCTGGAAATTTCGACCTGCAGAACAAGCCCCGTGGACGGCCTGAGACCCAAGTTGATAATGAAGTATTGAAGGCTATTGTGAAAGCGGATCCATCGCAAACCACGTCCGAGTTAGCTGCAGGCTGCGGTGTTAGTGATAAAACTGTTATAATTCACTTGAAGCAAATTGGGAAGATTAAAAAGCTTGAAAGATGGGTACCTCACGAATTGACTAAAGCAAACCGGCAAACGCGCG